CTTGACCTCTTGTAATAGTTTCACCTTGATGGAGTCACTGGTAATGGCGATACCGGAGCTTTCTAGTCCCATTATCATCGGGCGATAATGGTCTGGCAATCCAGCAAGTAATAACGTCCCGAGCCATTCATCACTTACAACAAAACCAATATTCGTCAATTTATGTCCTGTTGAAATAATCTTGTTAACGTATTCTTCTACGGAATCACAATTTTCCAACTGAGTTGTGATTAAGGTACGTAACAGGCCAACTCTTCGCGTAAGTCCTTTATCGTCGAAGGCCTTGATTAAATTTTCCCATGCCTCTTTCGCTGTCTTCGCATTTTGCACGTGGACATAGTTTATGGGGTGTATCGACAGGATTATTTTGGCCTTAGCCTTTGCAACTTGTTTTGCCGTAGTGTTCGTACCCTCAACACATTCCCACAACTCTTCATGCTCCAAATATGTTTGCATTGCGAATTTCCATGAGTTGAAGTTTTCGCGCCCTAGTAGTTTTTCGATCGGTGGTAGCGTGGACGCTGCCATTTTGTTGCCGGAACACAAAAGTTTTTATCACTGAGATATATCGGATTCACCTTATTTTTACACGCGGCCAAACAATCAGCAGTACCCTGGGCCCATAACCTGTAGCAAGGTTTTGCTTTATCCAGTGGAATTGATTGTTTGGAAATTATAGGTGAATAAAACTGAACGAAACGATTGAAATGTGTATTGCAACTTGGTGGTACATCAACTGAACTTACAGTGTCAAGTGCGCACATGCGCAAGCTTATGTCGGTAATACAGTTAGCAAAAGGGTAGTTTTCTATAATATCAACACTGCCTCATTGTCCCAACGAATACCTAATGTTTTCTTATCCAATTGTTTATCCGTAATTATACAATTTTTTACAGACACGTTATGCTCGTCATGTAGTATTTCAGGACTATTTGATGACCACTTACTGACCTCGAAACCTCCCTTTGCCAGGACCGTTTTTAATTCCTCTTTAATTTGTTTTAATTCACGAATAGAATCTGCGCCAAAGAGCGCATCATCCACATAGAAGCATTTCATAATAACATCATGCGCTAGAGGGTACGCATGTTTTTCCTCAGAGCCTAATTGTTGGACACATTTTATCGCTTGATATGATGAAGAAGTAAGCCCGTAAGTAACGGTTTTTAATCTATATGTGTTTATAGGATATTCGGGAGACTCTCGCCATACAATTTTTTGATAGTTGCGATCGTCTGGATGTACCCAAATACAACGGTACATCTTTGATATATCTGCGGTTATAACAAATTGAGGTACTCTAAACTGGATAATGATAGTAAATAAATGGGGCTGCAACACTGGCCCCGCTAAGAGATTGTCATTTAAAGTAAGATCATTGGAACTTTTGGCAGAACCATCGAAAACTACTCGGAGTTTCGTGGACGAACTGTTTAAATTTAGTACACAATTATGTGGCAGGTAAAAGGATTTGTCCTGGGTATCAGCAGGTACAAGCTCCATGTGACCCATCTGCAAATACTCCCTCATGAAAGCAATGTACCCCTCATTTAGTTTGTGGTCCCGGAAGCGCTTTCTCTCTACTGATAATAACCGTTTTATTGCAGTCTCTTTGGAATTTCCTAAATTGGGAGGATTATTTGCAAAGGGTAGCCTAACGACAAAGCGCCCGTCTGCCGCCCGTTTAGTAGTGTCATAAAAATGGCCTTCACAAATATCTTTGGAGGAATTTTTTTCATCTGCAGGTGCACTGATCGGTTCTACATTTTCAAGTTCCCAAAATCGAGTAATGCACGTGTCTAAACTAATTTTGTAACAATGAGTACGATTAAATTTGAAATCTCCAATAGGACCTCCTATAAGCCAACCTAACAAGCTATTTTGCAGAACAGGATGATTTTTTCCTAGGCTGATTTTACCGTCTGTTAATAAATTTAAGAAGAGTTCTGCTCCAATTAATACATCTACGGGTCCTGATATGTGAAAAGTTGGGTCAGCAAGTTGCAGATTGTTAGGCAATTTGAAATGATTAGCTTGGAAACTATGACTGGGCAAGTTTTCAGTTATTTTAGGAATTATTAAGCATCTAATATTTGTACGAAAATCTGTGGACTTGCTGCCGATTGCAACTTCTGCAGATTTTGTTAATTTTTATTGACTATTTATCCCTGAAATGGACATATTTATACTGCTAATGTTTAATTTCAATTTTTTACAAAGGCTGTCTGTGATAAAATGGGATTGGCTTCCTATGTCGAGTAAGGCCCGGCATTCTTTAACTATACCGGTAGGACCGGTGACTTGTATTAAGGCCGTCGATAATAAAACATTATTTGAAAGGGCCAAGTGGCACTGAGACGTACCTTCGCCGGGATTATCAACATTATGTTCATCATTATGTGAATCACTAGTATCAGCGTGCTCCATATGCAATAAAGAGTGATGCCTTTTATGGCATTGCCTACAACCTGATGCCGTGCAGTCCTTTGTGAAATGACCCTTCCTAAAGCAGTTAGTACACCGATTCATGGATTTGATATGCTCCAACCTTTCATCGGGATTTAATTTGAGGAAATCTGCACAATTAAAGATGCTATGCATTTTTTCGCAAATGAAACACGGGACTAATTTTTTGCTAATTTGCATCTTTGTAGCCGTATGAAACACACGTTTTTTAAATTGTGAATTGGCGATATGTTTTTGAGTGGGAACAATTTTGAATTCTTTGTTGACTTTATGAATATTTATGGATTCCAATGTTCGGCAACGTTTTTCTAAAAATGAGATTAGGTCTTTGTGAGAAGGTATAATATTAGGTTCGATAGATTCCTCCCAAGCGGTACTAGAAAAATGATCTAACTTGGACGTTATAATATAAATAATTAAATCGCTCCATTGGTCGACGGGACGTTCTAGGCTTTTAGAGTATTTAAGTTAATATTAAGCTGGTCAAGAAAGTCTCGTAAGGATTTAGCTTCGGATTTATTCACATAGGGCAAATTAAAAATATTTTTTAAGTGGTTAGTAATGATAAGTCGCTTGTTTTCGTACCGCTGTTTTAAAATGTTTAAAGCAATAGGATAATTTTGGTTATGTGTTTTTAAGGCTTCTAACGTTTTCTTAGGTTCATCCTCTAAACAGGATTTGAGATAGTGCAATTTTTGTGTATCGGTTAGCGATTCATTGTTATCGATTAAACTGACAAATGTATCGATAAATGAGGCCCATTCGGTATAATTGCCGCTAAATTTGGGTAACTCTATAGTGGGTAATTTTACATTTATGCTGAAAGAATTAGAAGACGCGGACGAACTAGGTAGGTACACCGGCAGCTAAATTAGATTTTTCAAGTAATTCGTCAAATACCTTAGAACTAATGCTTCGTACATTTTTTTCTCTGACATCACTGAATTTGTACTCGACCTCTACATCCGATTCGCCATCGTCTGAGCCATTCGTAACGACTAACGACTCAGTTCCGTAGTGACTGCAAATATTTTTAAGTTCGGTTTTAAGATTTTCTAAATCCAGCAACCGTCGCCGTAATTGGCCAAACTTTTGGTGGTTTGCCGAATCTGATACAAAGTTACGGTGCGCGTTCACTTCCGCAACTATAGCTAAGAATTTGTTTAATGTTATGTCTTGCGATTTAGTCATCTTATTACGGAAAATGCACACGTTAATTAGATGAATTTGGGCCTACCTGATCGTCTCTGGAACTCTTGAATTTTCTGTTGATGCCGTAGCGATGAATGCTGATTGTTGAGACGTGTGGAGACTGAACTCGTAGTTTACCGTATTTCACCGTATTTCACTTATCACTATCACTGTTGTTTTGTCGCTGATCCGGCTCGAAGGACCATGTTTTAGATTGTATAATGATAAGACCAGCGAACTTGTAGGATAAAAGTATATTGACAGTAATAAGTGCATGTATATACAAAAAAGATTTAGAGAATATGTGACCTCACGGTCGAGAAGTATTTGAGTCAGTCACTCTGTGAATATTGAATTCCATTTCCTGGTGGTTCTCACCACCCTTATTTCAAAGTGGGTGGTGGCTCTGGCCCACCCTTGCGGGTGGAGGGGACGGAACAGATGTCCCCGCCAGGAGCGCTAACACAAATATTTGTATTGATTCAGAACGTTAATTTGATTCCATTCAAAGTTAGGCAACTTTGTCGCAGCGTTTTTTCTTTTTTTTCTTGTTAGTGGAGAAAATTTTTGTGTCCTCCTAGGGTCCATCACTTGCACCTGATCTCATTCCATTTTGTTAGACGATCACAGCCAAAACAAAATTTTTGAATTTTTGAATTTTTCCCGGGCTTTCAATTTATTTTCACATATCAATTTAAGGCGGGAAAGAAAAATTGTCTCCCTAAATCCCCCATTTTTATCGCCAATTTTATTGTCTATCTGCTTTTTTTTAATCTGAAATTCGCTCTTTAGTTATCAGTTTAAAGATTTTTACTCCCTTATCTCACACAAAGATATCTATTGTTTTCTTTTGATTAGGTATAATCTGTCAACTGAACTTTGAAATCAATGAAGATAATACAGAAACTGAAGGACCTGTAGTGTATATTTGGTTGCATACTTCGAAGAACAGTTTTGCAACTAGCATTTGATTAGTGGTTAGTTAGCAATTTCGGCGAATCTAATGGTCAAAAATTAAAATTGAAGACGTTATAAATACGTATGACGTCATATAAAAAAATTTTTGGAGTGACTAGGCTTTTCCGACCAATTAAAAAAATCATTATCGCTTTTCTAAATTAATTAGGTGATGTTTTCAGATTTGCTGGATAAAATATTTAATAAATTCAAAAAGGAAAAAATAAAAAGGACGTCGAAGTTTTTAGACCCAAAATCCTACACTGTCTCGCATCGACGAAATTAATGTTAATTTAAGGCTCATCCGGCCGCCTTAGCGCTCCGTGACGTCACGCCGTAGACACAACAACCGAGTCGGCCGACGGCGGCCGACCTTGCTCGCCTAAATCTGGATTCATTCGTGACATGGTGGAAAAACCGAGGTCGCGATGTTGTACGAGAGACGCATTTGTGGGAGAATATTATCTTAACAAATTCCTGGCAAGTGGGGAGTTCGAATTGTGTTTATTTAGATTGATGCGAATAAACCACTGTCAAGTATGTATTAATAGAACCCGAATAACCCAAGAATGAGTCAGTCAAACCAGATTGGTGTGCGAAAGAGGAACACATTCGGCAACCTCGATAAGATAAGACATGACATTTTACCGGCGGTTTCCGGTTCTCGTTTCGTTCGCTGGCGGGGAAATCACCCGATTTCAACCAACGCGGCGCCCGGAGTGCTGATTGGATGACGACTTTCACCGAAAGTGTTTCGTGTGGTGTCGGCTGACGATGGGTGTGCCATAACGGAATTCGGTGGCGGCCCGGTGGTGTTGCTGTTGCGTTGTGAAACAATTAGAAGAGTTTTTGAGTCGTGAGGTGTTGGAAGAAACAAGTGGACGTATTCGATAAATGTAAGTAAAGGTGTGGATGAAAGTTGTGTAATAGTGTTATTACTGCATGGGTTACTTTATGATATGATGCAATTTACTGGAGTGTTGAAAAGGGCGAAGCGATTTTTCGAACTAATTTTACTACTTTACTGATAATAATTAGTTAATGGTGTGACGGAATATATTTATAAAATAGTTTATTGTGTCTTGGAGCTTCAATTAATTGTCGTACCAACATTAAGGGTTTATTTAGAAACATTGTGAAATATGTTGGATGCCCTGTTGAAGGTCAAAGCTAACTAGGATCACAAAAGTTGCGTAAGTATGGGAAACCCAATTTTTAATTCGGAGTTTCGGGGATTATCTGTCTGATAAAATTGTTTGCAATTACTGAAACAAAGTTATCAGTTAATATTTCGTCAACGATCTTATCAAAACGTTTTAGTTTTCATTTTTAATTTTTGTGTGATAATCGCGATAATTTGAAATTGTAAAAAATAAAAATCGACATTGCGTTTTTGAAACGACTTCGTATATTTTCTAGAAATGATGAATAAATTTTAATCGGTCTTCTATTTTGTTTACAAAGTTAATATTAGGGTCTTACCAAAATTTCTAACACAAAATTGTAAAATTTCATTTTACGAATTTGATTAACTACCACCCAGTGAAACAGTGATGTCTAGGATGTAAAACAGTTTTCGTTTTTAATTTTAGATGATTGGATTCGTCGATAGATATCTCACGATGGTCGAGTGTTTAAACAATGTTTTCCCGATCGGTCTGTTAAAGAATTGTAGATAATTAGATTATACATGGAATTGATGCTTAATAAATATTTAAAATTCGTAGATAAGTATAAAACAGCTGCATATATGTCGCATACATTGCATCACATGATAACAATTCAATTTTCAGTTTTTCGGTTACTGAATTTTACGATATTACACTGTTGGGATTTTTGAAATTTTCGATTCTTCAATTTCTCATTTATTCAAATTTTCGATTTTTTGATTTCTCAATTTTCTGATTCTTGAATTTTTCGAAATTTTTGACGTTTCTAAATTTTAGATTTTTTAATTTCTCAATTTCTCGATTAATTGTTTTTTGGTTTTTTGACTTCTCGATTTCGTGTCTTTTCGAGTTTTCAGTTTTCCAATTCCTCAATTTTTCGATTTTTCAGTTTTTGAGTTCTCCAGTTTTTCAATATTTTAATTTTTCAACTTTTAAAATTTTCGATTTTTCGGTTTTTTTGGTGTTTCGATTTTTCGACTTCTCGGTTTAAGATTTTTTGGTTTTTCAATTCTTGGATTTTTAAAATTTTTGGTTTCTTAATTTATCCAGATTTAGATGTTTCGATTTTATGATTGTTCAATTTATCAATTTTTCGATTCATCTATTTTTTCATATTTTCAATTTTTCAATTTTTAGCTTCTCGATTTTTTGATGTTTCGTTTGTCGATGCTTCAATTCCTCAATTTTTCGATTTTTCTGTTTTTCGATTTTTTGATTTTCCAATTTTTCCTTGGTCCGACTTTTCAGTTTTTGGTTTCCAAATTTTTCGTCATTTCAGATTTTTCTGACTTTTCGATTTTCAATTTTTCGAAATTTTTACTTTTCCGTTCTTTAAATTTAGATTTTTTGATTTCTCAATTTTTCGATTTTTAAATTTTCTTCTAGAGTTTTCAGGCTTTCCATTTTTTATTTTTTCGATTTTTTGATTTAACGGTATTTCGACTGTTCAAGTTCTCGATTTTTCGATTTATTTTTCAGTTTTTAAATTTTTTAAATTTTGAAATTTTTCAGTCTTTAAATTTTTCAATTTTTCAGTTTTTAACTTTTCGATTTTGAACTGTTTCGATTTTTCAAGGTTCTATTTTTCGACTTCTCGATTTCTTGATTTTTTGATGCTTCTTTTCTCGATTCTTTAATTTTTCGGATTTAAAATTTTCGATTTTTTAATTTTTGACGATTCTAAAAATATAAAATTTTTGAATTTCTCGATTAATCGTCTTTGTTTCTAGATTATTCAATTTTTCAATTCTCGATTTTCCGGGTTTTCAGTTTTTCAATTCTTCAATTTTTCGATTTTTCACTTGACGCTTTTCGATTTTTTACTTTTAATTTTTTGCATTTTTTTTTATTTTTTGATACTTTGATTTTTCGAATCCTCAGTTTTAGATTTTTCGGTTTTTCAGTTTTTCGATTTTTCAATTTTTCGATTTCTTGATGTATCGAAATTGTTGAATGTTTCAATTTTTTTATTGTTCAATTTATCAATTCTTCGGCAGTTTCAATTTTTCAATGATTCGAATTTTCGGCTTTTCGATCTTTCGATGTTTTGTTTCTCGATGCTTTTCAATTTTTCCATGTTTCGATTTTTTGATTTTCTAATTTTTCCTTGCTTCGATTTTTCCATTTTTGATTTCCAAATTTTTTTCGTCATTTCAGTGTTGGAATTTTTCAATTTCTCGACTTTTAAAATTTCCTAATTTTGAATTTTAGTTTTTTTAGTTTTTAGATTTTTTGATGTTTCGACGTCTCGATTTTTCAATTTTTTGATGTTTTAATTTTGTCGTTTTTTAAATTTTAGATTTTTCGATTTCTGAGTTTTTCGGTTTTTCAGTTTTTCGATTTTAATTTTTTTTTCCATTTTTTAGTCTTACAGTTTTTTAGTTTTTCGATTTCTTGATTTATCGAGATGTCGATGTTTCAATTTTTCGATTATTCAATTTCTCGCGTTTTCGATCTATGGATTCTTTTTAATTTTGCATTTTTCAATTTTTCAATTTCTCAAGGTTTCGATTTTTCGACTTCTCAACTGTTCCACTTTTCGGTTTCCCGATTTTTGATCATTTGATGCTTCGTTTATCGATTCCTCAAGTTTTCAATTTTTTGGAATGTTTCGATTTTTCCATTTCTTGGTTTAGATTTTTCAACATTTTGGCTTTTCAATTTTTCGATGTTCCGACTTATCAATTTTTCGATTTCCCAATTTCTCGTCTTTTCAGTTTTGGAATTTTTATATTTCTCGATTTTCTAGTTTTAGATTTTTCAAGTTTTCTTCATTCTTCGATATAATTCTTCGGTTTTTCAAATTTTCTGTGTTTAAAATTTTGAAATTTTTCGATTTTTCAGTTTTGCGAATCTTCAAATTTCCGATTTTTTAATTTTTGGTTTTTCGATTTCTTGGTTTTTCGAAATTTCAACAAACTTTTCGGTTTCTCAATTTCTCGATTTTTGAATTTTAGATTTTTCATTTCGATTCTTCAATTTTTTGAGAATTTAATTTTTCAGTTTTTTAAATCATATATATTTTTCGAATTTTCGATGTTTCATTTTTTTTAATTTTTCGAATTCTTTAATTTTAGATTTTCCATTTTTTTGATGTTTCGATTTCTCGATCTTTCAATTTTTTAATTTTTCGGTTCATGGATTCTTTTTTAATTTGAATTCTTAAAGTTGTTCCATTTTTTTCGACTTCTCGACTTTTCAGCTTTTCGATTTCTCGATCTTTTAATGCTCCGTTTCTCGATGCTTCAGTTTTTCAATTTTTTCGATGTTTCGATTTTTTCATTTCTCGGTTTTTCGATTTTTCAACATTTCGGCTTTTCGAGTTTTCGATTTTCCAATTTTTCGTCATTTCAATTTTGGAATTTTTCAATTTCTCGTTTTTCTAGTACTTCGATTCACTCTTATCGAATTTTTGGATTTACTGCTTTTCGGTTTTTCAGTTTCCCGATTTTTTAATTCTAGAATTTTCAGTGTTTTGATTTTTTGATGTTTCGATTTTTCAATTTTTCCATTTTTCAATTCTTCGATATATCAATTTTTCGGGTTTTTAAACTTTATATTTCCTAGGTTTTTGGTGTTTCGACTTCTCGGTTTGGATTTTTCGGGTTTTCAAATATTCCATTTTCAAAATTTAGCAATCTCGATTTTTTAGTTTTCCGAGTCTTGAATTTTCGAAATTTCAGCTTTTCGGGTTTTCGATTTTTCAGTTTTTTGATAATTTAATTTTTCAGTTTATTAAATTCCTCATTTTTCGGTTTCTCCATTTTTCGAATTTTTGATCTTTCGATTTCTCGATGTTTCAATTTTTCTAATTTTTAAATTTTAGTTTTCCAGTTTTGTGATGATTCGATTTCTCGATCTTTTGATTTTTCGACTTGTCCGTGTTTGATTTTTCGGTTTCTCAATTTTTCGATTTTAAAAAATTTTGATTTTTCGATTTTTCAATTTTTCGATTTCTTAAATTATCGAGGTTTCGATGTTTCGATTGTTCAATTTCTCCGTTTTTCGATTAATGGATTCTTTTTTCATTTAAATTTTTAAAATTTTTCAGTGTTAATTTTTCGATTTTTCGATTTTGGGTGATTTTGAATTTTCAAATTTTCGATTTTTCGACCTCTCGACTTTTTTCAATCTTTTAATGGTTCAATTTCTCGATTTTTGAATTTTAGGTTTTTCATTTTTCGATTTTATGTTTCTATTTCCCGATTTTTCCATTTTTCGATTCATCAATTTTTCTATATTTTAATTTTTCCGTTCCTTAAATTTTATATTGTTCGAATTTTTAAATCTTAGGTATTCCACTTTTTTGATGTTTCTATTTCTCGATCTTTTAATTTTTCAACTTGTCCATTTTAAATTTTCCAATTTTTCGATTTTTAAAATTTTGAATTTTTTGATTTTTTAGTTACTGATTTCTGGATTTATTGAGTTTTTGATGTTTAGACTTTTCGGTTGTTAAATTTCTGGGTTTTGCGATTTATCGATTTTTTTTTTAATTTTGATTTTTCGATTTTTCGACTTTTCGATTTTTTGCTTCAGGTCTCGATGCTTCAGTTTTTCAAGTTTTTCGATGTTTTGGTAGTCCATTTCTCGGTTTTTCTATTTTTCAACATTTTCAGTTTTTCGATTTTACAATTTATCCTCATTTCAGTTGTGGAATTTTTCAATTCCTCGATTTTTTTAGTTTCTCAATTAGTCAATTTTTCGATGTTTCGTCTTTTTAAAATTTTATAGTTTTCGTTTTCTCGGTTTTCCGACTTCAATTTTTCAATTTCGCGATTTTTAAAATTTTAGATTTTTGAATTTTAGATTTTTCTTTTCGATTTTTCAATTTTTTGCTAGTTTAATTTTTCAGTTTTCTAAATTCTGTTTTTCGATTACTCGATTTTTTGATATTTTCTATTTCAGACTTTTCAGTTTTTCGATTTCAAAATTTTTCGTTATTTCAGTTTTGGAATTTTTCAGTTCATCGAGTTTTTTTAGTTTTTCGAGTCTCAAGTTTTTCGATTTTTCAATATTTCCATTTTTTAAATTTTGTATTTTCCGATTTCTAGAGCTTTCGAATTTTCGGCTTTTCGTTTTTCCGATTTATCAATTTTTCAATTTTTTAATTTTAGGTTTTCAAATTTTTCGGGTTTTTTAAATTTTAGATTTCCTAGTTTTTTGATGTTTCGATTTCTCATTCTTTCAATTTCTCGACTTCTATATATTTTTCAAATTTTTGATTTTTCGATGTTTCGATTTTTCTATTTCTCGGTTTTTCGGTTATTCAGTATTTAGGCTTTTCGATTTTTCGATTTTCCTATTTTCCGGTCTCCCGATTTTTCAATTTTTCGATTTCCCAAATTTTCATGTTTTCAGTATTTGAATTTTTCAATTCCTCGATTTTTTTAGTTTTTCGATTCTTCAGTTTTCCTATTTTTCAATGTTTCGTTTTTTTAAATTTTGGTTTTTGCGGTTTCTCGGGTTTTCCAATTTTCGGTCTTTACGATTTTTCAGTTTCTTAATTTTGGATTTTTCGATTTCTCGGGTTTTCGAATTTTCGGCTTTTCGGCTTTAAGATTTTTCAATTTCTCAATTTTTGTTTCGATTTCTCAATTATTCCATTTTTCAATTTTTCCGTTATTCGATGTCTCTATTTTTTAATATTTCGGATTTTTTAAATTCTAGATTTTCTAGTTTTTTGATGATTTGATTTCTGGATCTTTCGATTTTTCGACGTCTCGATCTCTTGATATTTCGTTTCTCGATGCTTCAGTTTTCCTTTTTTTCAGTATTTGGGCCTTCCGATTTTCCAATTTTTCGGTCTCGATTTTTCAAATTCTCGTTTTCCCAATTTTTCGTGTTTTCAGTTTTGGAATTTTTCAATTCCTTGATTTTTTAGGTTTTTGAATCTTCAATTTTCAAATTTTTAAAAATTTAGACTGTAATTTTGGATTTCCGATTTTTCTCAATATTAAAATTTTTTGATTTTTGAATTTTATAATTTTCTTTCGATAATATAATTAAATTCTTCGATTTTTCCAGTTTTCGATTTTACCCGTTTTCTGTGCTTCCGTATATTTATTTTTCAATTTTCGAATTATGAAATTTTTTATTTTTCAGTTCATTGGTTTTTCAATTTTTCGATTTTACGATTTTTTTATTCGATTTCTTATCAACTCGGTTTTTAGATTTTAAAAATTTTCGACTTCGATTTTTAGATTTCTCGATTTTTCAAGTTTTAGATTTCTCAGTTATGATTCCCATTTTGGAAATTTTTCAACATTTGTTTTTTTTCAATTTTTTGATTTTTTGAAATTTCGATTGTTGAATTTTTCGATTTTTCAATTTTTAAAATGTTTTGATTTCTCGATTTCTCGATTTATCGATATTTGGATGTATCAACTTTTTGATTGTTTGATTTCTCGATATTTCGATTTTTCAATTTCAAAAAATTCTGAAAATATAGTACCTACGTTCATTTTTCACGCCAACAAGGCTTGGTTACTTTTGTCATCAAATTCAAAAATCTTGTAGGGCGCTTTTTTATTCAGACTTGGTGTTTTCATATGGTACGATCCTCAATACATTTAAATATACGAAAACACGGAATATTGCGTTTTTATCGTGAAATACAACATTTTTGACGCAATTAATAGAACTCGGTTTTTAGACCGACATTTTAAATATGGCGGAGTTGATAATTTTTAAACGTGTTGACAAGTGTTCATTAAAAAGCCTTTGTGTTACAAACCATTTTTCTTCGTTTTTAATAAAAAATTTAAAATTGCGAAAATGAGTTTCGAGTTTGCAACAGATTTAGACGTTTTAATAATAGAGTTTTAAAAACCTGATAGTGAGAGTGAAAAACGTTATAAAATAATGCGTTCTATTAAAATTTTAGATTCGTTTCAAAAAAGAAGACGGTGCCCGACACCATTCTCCGCAAAAGTGTGTGTACTCGTCTGAGGTGAGTTTTCAAATAGTGCAAAGCAAAAATTTACAAATCGGAAATTTTAGATCTCGCTAACGAGTGTAATGAAGCGAACATGCAGCGGAACAACATTAAGAAAGCCAAACCCTTGAATGTGTCTTATAAACCGTTCCTCGAAGAAGAAGTCGACAATGAAGAAATTTTGTGGAAATTTATATCCATACAACCCTACAACAGGAAGAATGTGAAGAAAGCGTCAAAGTTTTTGATGAACAGAAGCCAATTTGACTACAAGAAGCAGTACCGCATTTTTAAGAGTCTCGACGAGTTTGTGCGCGAATTCAGCGTTCCTGAAAACGAGGGGCCGCTGTTTATTGTTTTGCCAAAATCGGTAGATCTTTGGGTTGTTTTTTGTCTGGTATGGGAAGATGGTGGTGAAAGCACAGTTTTATACAAGGACTCGTCCGGTGCTTCCGTTCCTCTTGAAGTTGAGAAAACATTGACAAATCTAGTCCCTGACGTGGAATTTATTGTTCACAAGAACCAAGACCACGAAGAAGACGAAGATTTCCTTTATGGACCACTCTGTCTAAGAAACTTGGAAATCTTGTTGAAATTTTTCGAGAAGAAACCACGCGATGTAGCTAACGAGTTTCTTGAAATTTCCTTTTGTAAAGGATCTGACATCAACAAACAAAAATTCGATGCTGCCGTCAGTCTTACTTTCCATTTGTCGAAGAATACCAAATTCAAAGCGTATTTGCAACAGTTCGTGAAGAAGTTGCCAAGAAAACTGGCAAGTGACGTCGCCGACTATCACAAAATTTTGAAAGAAGAGCTCGAGAAAGACGAAAAGGACGTAAACCACGAGAGACTCGAAGAAGCCAGACAAAAATGTCTCCAAGAAGAGGACATCAAGAAATTTTCCGAAGACTTCAAAATCCACGTAGACAAAAAAGCGCAGGAGTATCGACTAGAGGCTGCTGAAGATTTTTCTAAAGAAATGAAACGCATGCGGCAAATTTTTCTCATTCTTCAATCGTGCGAAAATGACGAACGTTTCCCAGAAGCACTAGAAATGGTACACAAACAGCTTGGTGTCGACTACAACGAAATAAAGTCGCTTGGGCAACAAATCACAGAACAAGAAGAAACAAAAGAAGATGATTCTCTCGTCCCTGAAGATATCAGTACCCTTGTCGAAGACATCGCCAAAAATGGTCAACACAACGAAGAAATTCCCTCAGTTGAGTGTACCCCGATGGAAGATTTGTTGCCTCAGATTCACTTTCACATGGACCAAGACGATCCACAACAAGAACAAACTGATCTTAAACCGATACAAGACAAATTGTTACTGGTTAAAACTAAGTACGAAAAGTGGAAAGATAATGGTCTTGAAGCTATCAATAAGTGGGCGAAAAAGAAGAAAGGTCATTTGGGCACTGATGACAACTCTGTTTGTGAAGCAATTGCCGTCATGGATAAAGCTTTCAATTTATTAAAACATGGACGTCGACTTCGTTCAACCCAAATATTGTCAATATTGATTTTTTTCCACGATCGGAAGAATCAAGGCCAATTGTGTCAAATACAAACCGGTGAGGGCAAAACCCTCATCGTTTGTCTATTGGCTGTTATTAAGGCACTCCAAGGTTTGACAGTCGATGTTATAACCAGCAATCCAGTTTTAGCCCAAGATGCTGTCAACGAAAACAAAGATTTTTACGCAGTGTTTGGGTTAACTGTTGCCTGCAATAATTACGGTCAGTCTAAGAAATGCTACACCGCCAATATTCTTTACGGGTCAATCTGTAGCTTCCAGTTTGATTTTTTGACTGATAGTTGTGAAGGAACTAACATGAGACATGGTAGAGGCTTCGGCCAAGTAATTCTAGACGAAGTTGATAGCATGTTGATCGATAATGGAGGACACATTGCCAAACTTGCCTCACCTTACCCAGGAATGGAAAGCCTGAAGTACATCTACATCAAAATCTGGCAAGAGTTACACAAAGCTGAAAAGAGTTATTGCGAAGAAGTCCAAACCAAAATCCAAAACGATTCTCGCACTTGTGGAATTAATAATTTGATGCATGAAGAATCCACCTTTGAAATGGAGAACTACTTAACTGAAAAAATCAAAGCAAGTGATCCCACAAACATTGCTTTGATTCCGTTCCATTTGAGGAACTACGCAAGAAGTAAAATAGACGTCCTGATTACAAACGCTCTTCACGCCAAGTACCACTGTCACGAACATCAACAATATCGCCTCATTGTTAACGACGAAGGCGAAAGGGTCATAGCACCGGTGGACTACCTAAACACTGGTGTCACCATGAATAACACAGTCTGGTGCAACGGCTTACACCAATTCGTGCAACTCAAACACAACCTTCACCTAACTTCAGAAAGCTTGACCAGCAGCTTCATTTCCAACATCGGCTACATCAAGAAATACCAAGACAAAAACATCTTTGGAATGACCGGCACTTTGGGCTCTCAAGCAGAGCAACAACTACTCTCGAAAGTCTACAACGTGAACTACGCAAAAATCCCCACTTACAAAAAGAAGGTCTTCGAAGAATATCCCATGGTGGTTGTCGACGACGACAAATGGGTTGATCGAATCATCGCAGAAGTCTTGAAAAAAATCAACAACGAAAGAGCGGTTCTAGTAATCTGCGAAACAGAAGAAGATCTTCTCAGCCTCAACCAGCAACTTACCACCATACAGAAGATCCGAGTTTACGCAAACGAAGATAACGCGAAAGAACCAGAAGAACTGGTGAAAATCGGAGACATCATTTTAGCCACAAACATAGCAGGACGCGGAACTAACTTCCGAACAGAAGAAGATTTGGAATTGAAAGGGGGTCTACACGTGTGCGTCGGTTTTCTCCCATGCAACCTACGAGTAGAAGAGCAAGCTTTTGGTAGAACGTCTCGCCAAGGGAACAAAGGTTCAGCTCAAATCATCGTCCGTCAAAGCGGAATCGAACACTTGAACATAGAAGAAGTTCGTCCTGGGGACGACGAAATCAAGCGAATGAGAGACTTCTGGGAATCTGCAAGATTGGAAGAAATCAAAAACGTTCTCGTGAAAGAACTGATGTTCAAAGATCAACTCTTCGGTCTCTTTTTAAAATTCTATAGTGACCAAAGACGAAGTAAGCGAAAGAAACAGGAAAGGTTTGTTCTTGACGATTTGAAGGAGTTTTGGGCTTTTTGGTTGGAGAAGAAAGACTTCAAAGTTGAAGAAATAGAAAAGACAAGTGCACAAGCTGAATTTGACAAGTTTCGTGAAGACGCAAAGCACATCATTGGTGGAAGGATTTGCCATAATCCGTATTATTGTCTAGGTTTAGCGGAGTACCATTTGAGGAACGATGACCGAAAGGAAGCTTCTCAGGTGTTACAGCAGGCCATCGAAATGAGTGACGACAAAAACTTGAATTTATTGGCAGGAGCGTATTTGAAACTTTTTCACATTGCTATACTCGACGGTCGACAAATAATGTACAGATTTAAGAAAGCCGTAGGAAATTTGTTTTTCATCACGGTGAATGAGAATACGAAATATAAAACTGACGCAATTAGATATTTGGAAAAAGCTGGACAAGCTATCGACAATGAAATAAATTATATCAATACTTGTTTAATGAGCGAAGACAACAGTTTCTGTGCAGAAGAAGCGTTAGAAGACAATGAAGATGAGAATTTGTTTTTGAAGCACATGTGTTCTCGCCTTAGTTGCTTGAAACTACATAAGGGCAACGTTGAGAGTTTAATAGAACAAATTAATCAGCTGTCTGCAGTGGCGATCCAAGGTAAAAGTCCAACAGCGGAAGAACAGTTTCAAGACGTTTTTAAAAGCTCGGAGTTGAATGAAGTAATCACTAGCCACGAACTTCATGAAGTACAGTCTATAGGAATTGATACTCTTTATGCTTTAAGAGAAGTACACGATGTTCCACCAACTGTCATTCGTGCAGCTCAGATACAAATTGGTGCTGGAATTGCAGCCCTGACCACTGGACTCGTCTTCCTTCCAGTCTTCCCCATAATGAGTCCAATCGCTGCAACCTTAATTTCAGAAGGCCTCTTAGACATCATATTTGAAATACTATCACAAGGCTATCAAGAATTCGACAGACAGGCTTTCATGAAGTCCAAATTTATCTCCTATGGCATATCTATTCTCACTTTCGGCTTGAGTGCCGCTTTGCAGTCCAAAGTGATCCTAGACAAAGCCATCGAATATTGTCAAAGATTGTCAAAATTCTTACGTGGAAGCACCCGTTTCAAAAGCATATGTGAACGCTTGGCTAAAGTTGTTGACAAGATACAAAAGTACTTCGAGAAGCTTCGTTTGGCTGCTGAACTGAAAAACTTAACCAAAGCTCAACAGTTAACCAAATTGAAAGAATTGAGTTGCACCAATCCAGAGCTATTCGCAAAACTTGACTGTGGTGCTAAACTGGAAAAGCTACAAGCACTGGAAAAACTGGGGAAGCTTCAGGTATCACGAGTCGAACTACTTTTGGACTTCACGATGAAAACCGGCACGAAAATCGTGAAGCACCCTGCTCTTTACAACAACGTTGTAAAACCCATAGAAAATCAAGTTTTTGAGAAGTTGTTTAATGGAATTATGAAAGAACTACGAAACTCGGTTAATAAGAACAACGATTTACGCTTGAAACTTATCACATCACCAAGACATGACATAGACAAGGCAGTAGAGAAACTGTTAAACGAGACGGAGTTTAAGACTGTAGTGGGCACAATTTACTCAAAACTTTCAGAAAAGTTTGATGTTGTGCCTTTCAACCAAATTTTATCTTCAGCTGAGGCAATCACCAATTTGCAGACTTTTCTGAACTACGCTGACAACTTTGCTTCGAATCTTGAGAAGCTTTTGGACTATGGTGGAACTGCAAACAACAACGTCGACCAAATTATTGAAGAAGTGTGCAGGAGAGTGGCTGCAAAAATTATCGCTTTCTTGAAGGAGTGCTACAACAACGTCAAAAAGGTCGTTTCTACCGCAAGAAAGCTGCGTTTCAATAAAGAACTGATCATTTCAGCTGCGGAAAATTTCGTGATGGAACAAATGTCGGCAAAAATCCTCGACAAACTCCGATTCGAGATGAAGAGAGCCTTGAAGGAGTCGATTAAAGGCCGTTCAGAGTTGATGGAGAAACTTCGGACGACAGAGCAGGCGGCAATCTTTGCTGTGCTCGATCAGTTGCAAAGGGACCATGGAATTGCACAGTTCCAGATCGCGTTTGCCGTTTTAAAGTCGTTGGAAATCGTGCCTGTAGGTCGGGTTGTTAGTTCTGGATTCAGTGTCACCATCTGTACCTACAAGTTTGTTAAATGTAGTAGTAAGTTTGCAGCAGATCTGGAAGCAGCTCTCAGAGGTGGCTGTTGCGACAACAAAGTAGCAGATATTATTGAAATGATTTCATCAAAGATGGTGGATTTTCTTTTGCCTTTGCTGGAGAAAGTCATCGCAGGGACCATAGACTTAGTTTCCGCGATTCGGAGTATGGACAATTTTCGTATTGAAGATATTGTCGACAATTTGCCCACCATTGCTGCGAACATGGTCGATGTTTTAATGTACGAATTTCGAGGAAAGTTTTTCCAACTTGTAACAAAGATGCTCATTTCTGGGTGTAAGAAATTGGCAAGTTTGGTGGAGAAGCTTCGAACAACGCCTTTAGACCAAATTAATACTACAGTGAGCGAAATTCTAAGTAATGACACTGTTAAGATTCTACAATTATTCTACGAACTGTACGAAACACTCGAAGGTATGTCAAAAACAAAGCTACTGAGTGGAAGTCTAGAAACAATTTTTAAAATGTCAGGGGTTTCTGTGTACATCGGCCAGTTTGCGCTCTCTCTGGAAAAACGTCTACAAGGTGGAAACGAAAACAACAACACCGATGAAATTATTGAAGATATTTGTTCAAAACTAATGAAATCAGTCGAACCTCTCCTGGAACAGCTGTTTTTCCAACGAAACAATACAGGTGTGACTGTGAGCACTTCTGATAAATTTTCGAGAATAATCAATCTTGTCTGGAACTTGCTCCAACCGAAGATAATCGAAGCATTCAAAAGAAATCTTCGCAGATCTATAAGAAAACGTGGAATATTAATGGAAAAACTTCGTACATCTTACTACAATGTTATCAAAAAAGAATTCAACGATGTTTTGAAGAAAAGTTTGTTTGAAAGACTTCTGACAAAGCTTGTTCCGGAAGTATTAGTCTCTTTCCAGAGAGAATTCGGTAAGTCTGGTGTTGCAATCCTGAGCTTGAGTTTTGACATCAGTATCCACTTGAACGACTTAAGAAATTATCAAGATACTTTTGCCCAAGCTCTCGAAAATGTCCTCACTGGTGGCTCACATAACAACGACGTTGACACCATTATCGATGAAATCGAGTCCGAAATCATGAAAATCGTCACGCCTTTGCTGCAGAAGATTTACGAAAACACTAAAAACATCATCGGTGTTGTACAAGAAGATAATTCAACCAACTTTGATGATGCGCCCATAGATACGGAGAAAATTAAAAACATTTTGATAACGGAAATTGAAGAATCGCTTGCCAACGAACTCGTGAAATTTTTCGAGAATTCCTTGAGAAAAAAACTAAATGCTAACGAATCTTTGAAGGATAAACTGCGCACAAATCCCTCCGACGAAATCGTAGCAATTGTGGATATAGTAATGAATACCGAAAGAAACAAAATTTTGGCGTTCCTTCAGCAACTTTGTCAAAGCCTGCAAAGTGGTACACACGACTTCCGAATGTTATTTACCGCAATTCAAGCGGGCCTCGACTTAACACATTTTATTTTGTACGTTGACAAGTTTGTGTTTGAACTTGAAACTCGTCTCCATCTTGGAAATGAAAATAACAACTTCGAAGATATCATTTTCGACGTTTGTATGGCGATGTCTAAATTCGTTGGACCTCTAATAAAAGAAGTTTTAAATAGCGGCACGAACTTTGCTCGACAGAAAAACAAGAGCTTGAAAAGTCTACCAGAAGTGTTAGACATAACGAAGAAGTTTTTGTGGAAGAAAATTTCCGATAGGATTTTAGAGGAGTTTAAGCAGCGTTTGAACATTTCCATTAAGAATCGCAAACCGTTAATGCTCAAACTTCAAACTACGAACAGAAAATTCATAGTGGAAGCTGTTAGAAAGCTTCTGGCGAAAGGGCTACTCGAAAGACTGTTTAGGAAACTCGTGCCACAATGTCTAAATTTGCTGGAAGATGAAATGGGCAAATCGGTGGTCGTGTTGGTGTCTTCCAGTTTTCAACTTACACTTGACTTGAATGACATCTTCAACTACGTCAACAATTTTGCGGCCCAACTTGATTATGGCTTGAAAGGAGGGAGTTGTAATAACGATGTTGGCGAAATGATCGTCGAAGTCGAGTTTAATGTTGTAATGAAGGTCTCTCCTTTGTTGGAAAACATCTACCAACAACTATCACACTTCAAATCTGCGGTTTTTGGAGAAGTAGAGGACTTCACTGACATTAATGCTACTTTGACCACAACCGTGGACATAGTGATCAGAGAAATTTGTATCTCGGTTATAGACCAAATGGTAAAAATGATCATCCAAGCGCTGAAAAACTTCTTGGAGCAAAGTTCATCTCTAGAAAACAAACTTCGAACAGCAACAATGGTCGATATTAATGCAGTAGTTGCAAACATTTTGGCGGAAGATGGAATCAAAACAAAAGTACGTGGTTTCACGAACAAAATTCTTGAACAAGTGCATACTGGCTTAGATGAATCAGCTACGAATTTTCTAACCCAAGGGATCGCTGATCTGGCAAACATTGTTCCTCTTATAAATAATTTTGCGTCTAAACTTGAGGAACGTCTTTCCACTGGAGAAGAAAACAACGATATTGACGAAGTAGTAGGAGAAATTTGTTTGGATGTTGCAATTGCGATTCGTGATTGCTTGAAAAATGTTTATGAAAATATGGCGGATGTTGTGGGTAATATAGAAACAGTGAAGAAGAAAAAGAAGATGTTTGTAGAAGAGTTGGAGAAACAATTGTCTTGCCTGAAAACTAGGCTGAAATCATATTTGTAAATCTTAAGTTTTTTTGTATTTTGCTTTTCATGACATTTGATAAACAGTTTTTATGTAATTAAGGTTACACATATTAAATGTTTTTACGCTTTTAAACTTTGTGTTTTTTTTTGTCAATTTTTAAAATTCTTATTTGGTGCAATTCTTGCCTCTTGTATTGTAATGGTAGTCTCCAGGTTTTATTTTGAAATAGAATCTTTAGTAATTGATTCTTACAAGCCTCTGTCTCAAGATTACTTGTCAACAGAAATAACTTATTGAAAGTGAAATTCCAGGATTAAACCGGATACACTCAGTAGTATTAAAAATCAAAAGAGAAATTTGACTCTTTTGATTTTTAATACTACTGAGTGTATCCGGTTTAATCCTGGAATTTCACTTTCAATAAGTTATTTCTGTTGACAAGTAATCTTGAGACAGAGGCTTGTAAGAATCAATTACTAAAGATTCTATTTCAAAATAAAACCTGGGGACTATGGATATATGGAACAACGTTGCTTGAGGAAGGCCTGAATTTGGAGGAAGGAAATGCGGAACAAGCGAAAATCAAATTTAATAATGCGAAGTCCTTGTTTCAACAGGCGATAGAGTTGGTCGATTGTGAAGAAACCTAGATGAAGCTGCATCTTGTCGAATTGAATATCAGAAATAGCAAGTTTAACAAAGCTGTGAAGTTTGACAATGAAGCTTCTTCATTTCAAGATCAAGAACAATATAAAGAAGCTTTGAATAAATACCACGCAGCTTTGGGTAAATATAGTGAAGCCAAGGAAGACTATGGGGAAGGTGTCAGACACAAGGAAGAATAGTCTGCAAATTCCATGAAAATCGTACTCGTAGATATGAACAGCTCGAGAGAGTTGAAGATGCTGTGAATGGTATTAATAGTACAGAGATAATACAAGATCAAATTAGTGAACTCAGAGTAGATAACAGAATAAAAGAGACAGTGGAAGGTGAAAAGAAAGAAGCTTAATCTAAGTTACAAAATATATTTATTCAACGTTAAAGTGAGAGCTATTGTAGAATTTATGGTAGCAGGAAGTATTGTAATAAATCTCACCAACTTAGCTTGTCGTAGATCTGTTTTCTGAATTTTTCTTTAATAGTATATATTTTTGATAAAAACTTTATTGTTGTAATCCGGTTTTGCCAATATTAAATTCTTATTTTGTTCTTGCCTTCCTTCTTAGATGATGTATTTTTGATAAGAACTTTTACTGTAATTCAGCTTTGCAAATTTTAAATGTTCTTCCAATTTTAAAATTTGTTACTTGAGAAGCGTAAGCAATGGAATATCCTCAGCAGCACTTTGAACGACGTCACGTCAACATTTTGCTTGGTAAAGACTATTAAATTTACAAAAATAGCATGGTCCTGTACTTGTGATTTATGAATCCGTCTTGAAATCTGCACAATATTTGCTACGTGTTTCACGTAACCGATATCCCCGCGCATATGCGAAACAAGTAGGTAATGATTAATGCGTTGAAATTGAGCCTTCTGAGCTCTGCGGGCTTGGGGTTTGCCAACTTTTTTTTCAACTTAATCGTTTAACTTCAAGTTTGAGGGAAGTTCTATCTAAATAATTTTAGACTAATTCTATTTTAGTATACAAAATTCGTGTTTCCTGAGATTTTTGCCTTTTTTTTAGAGGCAGCATGTTGGTATAGTGCCAAAAGTGTAATGGTGGTCCGCATGTTTTGTTTTTAAACAAGATTCTGTACATCTTCCTCTGCAACTATAAGCATTTGACATTTCTAGAGGAAGTTTAAAAACTAAATCTTAACAATAACAACTTCGAAGTGGAGCTCTAGAATTAACGTTCACAAAGTTTTTATCCTTCCAGTTTCCACAAAAATGGGCACCACGTCCTCGACCATCAAAATCGTCAACGACACCAGCACCGACATCGTCAACACTTCTGTATCCGGCTTAGACAGTTTCGACTTTGTGGACACAAATCATCCAAGCAACAAACTAAACGGCTTATCCATAAATGCCAAAGGATCAGTTGAACGTATCGTAGACCTCTACACACCTGCAAGCCATTGTCCTGTGACTGTCACGTTAACTTTCAAAGACAAATCCGAAGACACTTTCCGCATAGATCTAAAATATGCTGAGGGATGTTGCGCACGATTCGACCATAGCAGAAGATCACACAAAATGTCATACAGACTTGACAATAAGAAGATCATTGTTACGATCGAAAATACTGCCGAACAAAACAAGAACGAAGAAGCTGAAGAGTCATTGAGGGGAGCTAGACAGGCGATGAGGCGGCGGTTGTATGACCAAGCTCTTGACCATCTTAGTCACGCTAAGAATTTAGCAAGTAAAGCTGATATAGTTAGGGAAATCAGGAGTGAAGAAAGTGAGGTTTATAGTTCGTATGGAGACAGTATGTTCGAAGAAGGTTTATTTATGGAAAGAACAGAACGCTTCCAAGCAGCAGAGGGTAAATTTTCGAGGGCGAAGTCTTTCTTCCAACGATCGTTGGAGTTGGTGTATAGTGGAGAGACACAGGCGAAAATACGTCTTTCCGAATTGAAGATAAGTGGAAACAGATGTACCAATACGGCTACGGAACTAGAAAATGAAGCTTTTGTGATGATTGCGAACGAAGAATATGAAACAGCGTTGGACAAGTACGAGGCAGCGTTGCGCAAATATAAAGAAGCTAAAAGAAAATTTGAGGAAGGTGGAAGATATAGTTATGTATATTTTTCAGATTCTGTTGAAGCTATAGAAGAACGAATCGAACAAGTTGACGGTTTTATAGAACGCACTAGAGAAGAGAAACAAAATGAAGAAGCCAAAGAATTGTTGCGGGAAGCTAAGAGAGCAAAGTCGCAACATTTGTACGATTTTGCTCTTGACTGTCTTGATCGTGCTAAAACCTTGGCAGTTCGATCCCATACAAAAGACGATATTAAAAATGAGGAAAGCCGAGTTTGTAGTTTATATGGGGAGACAATGTTTGAAGAAGGTTTGCATTACGAACAAAGAGAACACTCAGAAATGGCCCAACAAAAATTTGACAGAGCAGAGTCCTTGCTTCGACGATCATTGAGATTGGAAAACAGTAGAGAAACTCGACAGAAGTTGCGTTTGGTCGAATTGAAAATTAATGGTAATAAGGGTTTGAGGCAAGCAATGGAGTTACAAAATCAAGCCTGGGAGATGAGCGAGAACAAACAATATGAAAAGGCTTTGAATGTTTACCTTGCTAGCCTCACCATGTACAAAGAAGTTAAAGAAAAATATTTAGAAGGTGCTAGGTATCGACAACAGTACTTCTCTAATTCCATAAACATCGTAAACGAACAGATTAAACAAATAGAGGCCACTATCAAAAAGACTACACAACAGCAACAGAATGAACAAGCTAAAGCATTGATGAAGAAAGTCAAAGAAGCAATGAAGCAACGATTATACAATTTAGCGCTTCAACACCTTGAGGGTGCCAAAAGATTAGCAAATCAGTCGGATACACTTGAGAACATTAAGAACGAGGAAAGTCGGATTTTTAGTTTGTACGGGGTGACGCTGTTCGAAGAAGGTTTGGACTGGGAACAGAAAGAACATTCAGAAATGGCGGAAAGTAAATTTGCCAAAGCAGAATCTTTGTTTCGACGATCGCTGAGGTTGGTGAACAGTAGTGAAACTCGACAGAAGTTGCGTCTGGTCGAGTTGAAAATTAATGGCTGTAAGGGTTTAAGCCAAGGTGTAACGTTAGAAAATCAAGCTGTGGTGATGAGCAACGACAAAGAATATGAATTGGCGTTGAATAAGTATCATGCGGCTCTCACCATATACCAAGAGGTTAGAAACAAGTATTTGGAAGGTGCCAAAAATCGCAAAAGCTATTTCTCCAATTCCTTAAGTGCTGTAAATAAAAAAATCGAACAAGTAGAAGCCGCAATCGAAAACACTACAAAACAACAACACAATGAAGAAGCGAAAGCATTGATAAAGGAAGCTAAAAAAGCGACGAAGCAACAGTTGTATGACTTTGCGCTTGAACATCTTAAGGGTGCTAAAAGTTTAGCAAATCAACCGGATACACTTACGACGATCAAAAATGAAGAAAGTAAAGTTTGTAACTTGTATGGTATATCGGTGTTTGAAGAGGGTTTGAAGTTAGAGACGGAAGGACACTCAGAACGAGCACAAAGTAAATTTAAAAGAGCAAAAACTTTTTTTCAAAGAGCAGCGAAATTGGTGAGCAATAAAGAGCTTCAGCAGAATTTGCAACTCATCGATTTGAAGCTTGGCGGAATCAGAAGTTTCGCCGAAGCTGTCACATTAAAAGACGAAGGTGCTGAAATGGTTAAAAAGGAAGATTATGACTCTGCGTTGGATAAGTATGTTTTAGCTTTAGCTAAATGTAAAGGAGCTAAAGAAAAATATATGGAAGGTGCCGGTTGGCGAAAAGAATATTTCTCTAATTCTGTAGAACTGATAAATAAGCAAATTAAACAAATTACAATTACCATTAGAAACACTGAAGCACAGATGCGGGATGCAAACGCCAAAGAACTTATACAAAAAGCTAAAACAGCAAGAAGTCAAAATTTCTATGACGTCGCTCTCAAACATCTGAGTCAAGCTAAAGTATCGGCAAATCAAACTCATACGATTACCAGTATAAGAAAAGAAGAAAGTAAGGTTTGTCGTTTGTATGGGACAATGTTGTTCGAGGAAGGTCTGGATTCGGAGAAAGAAGGAAATGTGGAACAAGCAAAAATAAGATTTCATAAGGCGAAATCCGTGTTACAGCGGGGGATGAAATTGATTGATTGTGAAGAAACAAAGAAGAAGCTACGTCTTGTCGAATTGAAGATCAGTGGAGATAAGAAATTTAACAAAGCTGTGGAGTTTGACAACGAAGCTTCCTTATGTCAAGATGATGAACAGTATAAGGAGGCTTTAGATCAATACGACGCCGCTTTGGGTAAATATAAAGAAGCTAAAGAAGACTACGTGGAAGGTGCCAAACACGAGGAAGAATATTTTGCAGACTCCGTGAAAATCGTGGATGAACAGATTGAGAGAGTTGAAGTTACCGTAAATGAAATAAATAGTGTGCAGATGTTACAAGATCAAATCAGTGGACTTCGAATCCATAACAAAACAAGTGAAACAGTAAAAGATGATAAGGAGGAAGTTGAATCTAAGTTGCAAAAGACATTTATTCAACGTTAAAGTGTTAACGTATTGTAGAATTTATTGTAATGTATTGTAATAAAGTGTATATTTGACTTACTCATTTTCGACATTTGAATGACGATGTCCACGTTCATTCAAGCTTTAATAAAAAAAATTCTAAATCTGTTTGAAGTTTCTGTGTACATGGTCCATCGAGTTTAAGACTGTAGTAGGTATTATTAACTCAAAATTATCAGAAAAGTTTGATGTTGTGCCTTTCAACCAAATGTTATCTTCAGCCGTGGAAACACCAATTTGCAAATTTTCCTGAACTACGCTGACAACTTTGCTCCGAGCCTTGAGAAGCTGCTAAATCATGGTGGAACTGCAAACAACAACGTAGACTAAATTATCGAAGAAGTGTGGTGCTAACATTATCCCTTTCTTGAAAGAGTGCTATAACAACGTCAAGAAGCTCGTTTCTACCGCAAGAAAACTGCGTTTCAATAAGGAACTGATCATTTCGGCTGCGGAAAATTTCGTGATGGAGCAAATGTCGGCAAAAATCCTCGACAAACTCCGATTCGAGATGAAGAGAGCCTTGAAGGAGTCAATTAGGGGCCGTTCAGAGTTGATGGAGAAGCTTTGGACGACAGAGCAAGCAGCAATCTTTGCTGTGCTCGATCAGTTGCAAAGGGACCATGGAATTGCACAGTTCCAGATCGCGTTTGCCGTTTTAAAGTCGTTGGAAATTGTGCATGTAGGTCGGATTGTTAGTTCTGGATTTAGTGTCACCATCTGTACCTACAAGTTTGTTAAATGAAGTAGCAAGTTTGCAGCAGATTTGGAAGCAGCTCTCAGAGGTGGCTGTTACGACAACAAAGTCGCAAATATTATTGAAATGATTTCATCAAAGATGGTGGATTTTCTTTTGCCTTTGCTGGAGAAAGTCATCGCAGGGACCATAGACTTAGTTTCCGCGGTTCGGAGTATGGACAATTTTCGTATTGAAGAGATTGTCGACAATTTGCCCACCATTGCCGCGAGGATGGTCGATGTTTTAATGTATGAATTTCGAGGAAAGTTTTTCGAACTTGTAACGAAGATGCTCATTTCTGGGTGTAAGAAATTGCCGAGTTTGGTGGAGAAGCTTCGAACAACGCCTTTAGACGAAATTAATACTACAGTAATCGAAATTCTAAGCAATGGCACCGTTAAGATTCCACAGTTATTCTACGAACTGTACGAAACACTCGAAGGTATGTCAAAAACAAAGCTACTGAGTGGAAGTCTAGAAACAATTTTTAAGTGGAAACGAAAACAACAATACTGATGAAATTATTGAAGACATTTGTTCAAAACTAATGAAATCAATCGAACCTCTCTGGAACAGCTGTTTTTCCAACGCAACAATACAGGTGTGACTGTGAGCACTTCTGATAAATTTTCCAGAATAATCAATCTTGTCTGGAATTTGCTCCAACCGAAGATAATCAATCGAAGCATTCAAAAGAAATCTTCGCAGATCTATAAGAAAACGTGGAATATTAATGGAAAAACTTCGTACATCTTGCTACAATGTTATCAAAAAAGAATTCAACGATGTTTTGAAGAAAAGTTTGTTTGAAAGACTTCTGACAAAGCTTGTTCCGGAAGTATTAGTCTCTTTCCAGAAAGAATTCGGTAAGTCTGGTGTTGCAATCCTGAGCTTGAGTTTTGACATCAGTATCCACTTGAACGACTTAAGAAATTATCAAGACACTTTTGCCCATGCTCTCGAAAATGCCCTCACTGGTGGCTCACATAACAACGACGTTGACACCATTATCGACGAAATCGAGTCCGAACTCATGAAAATCGTCACGCCTCTGCTGAAGAAGATTTACGAAAACACTAAAAATATCATCGATGTTGTACAAGAAGATAATTTTACCAACTTTGACGATACGCCAATAGATACGGAGAAAATTAAAAACATTTTGATAACGTAAATTGAAGAATCGCTTGCCAACGAACTGGTGAAATTTTCCGAGCATTCTTTGAGAAAAAAGTTAAATGCTAACGAATCTTTGAAGCATAAGTTGCGCACAAATCCGTCCGACGAAATCGTAGCAATTGTGAATATTGTAATGAACACCGAAAGAAACAAGATTTTGGCGTTCCTTCAGCAACTTTGTCAAAGCCTGCAAAATGGTACACACGACTTCCGAATGTTATTTACCGCAATTCGAGCGGGCCTCGACTTTACGCATTTTATTTTGTACGTTGACAAGTTTGTGTTTGATCTTGAAGCTCGTCTCCATCTTGGAAATGAAGATAACTACGTGGAAGATATAATTTTCGACGTTTGTATGGCAATATCGAAATTCGTTGGACCTCTAATAAAAGAAGTTTTAAATAGCGGCACTAACTTTGCTCGACAGAAAAACAAGAGCTTGAAAAGTCTACCAGAACTGTTAGATATAACGAAGAAGTTTTTGTGGAAGAAAATTTCGTATAGGATTTTAGAGGAGTTTAAGCAGCATTTGAACATTTCCATCAAGAAGCGTAAATCGTTGATGCTCAAACTTGAAACTACGAACAGAAAATTCATAGTGGAAGCTGTTAGAAAGCTTCTGAAGAAAGGGTTAATCGAAAGACCATTTAGGAAACTCGTGCCACAATGTCTAAATTTGCTGGAAGAGGAAATGGGCAAATCGATGCTCGTGTTGGTGTCTTCCAGTCTTCAACTTACACTTGACTTGAATGACATCTTCAACTACGTCAACAATTTTGCGGCCCAACTTGATTATGGCTTGAAAGGAGGGAGTTGTAATAACGATGTTGGCGAAATGATCGTCGAAGTCGAGTTTAATGTGGTAATGAAAGTATCTCCTGTGTTAGAAAACGTCTACCAACAACTATCACACTTCAAATCTGCCGTTTTTGGAGAAGTAGACAACTTTACTGACATTAACGCTACTCTGACCACAACCGTGGACATAGTGATCAGAGAAATTTGTATCTCGGTTTAGACCAAATGGTAAAGATGATCATCCAAGCCCTGAAAAACTTCTTGGAGCAAAATTCATCGCTAGAAAGCAAACTTCGAACGGCTGTAATGGTCGATATTAATGCAGTGGTTGCAAACATCTTGGCGTATGTGGTTTCACCAACAAAATGTTTCGCTTTTTTTTGTATTTTGCTTTTGATAACATTTTTGATGAAAACTTTTACTGTAATCCAGATTATATTATATGAAATGTTTACGCTTTTAAAATTTCTAGTTTTTTTGTTCCCAATAGGCAAAACCTCGCTGTGGTGGGAAACGTGTAAATATGATCCATCCTCAGGTTTTATTTTTTACCAGAATGCCTCACATCTTTAGTTAACGGCTTCTTCAAGCATCTGTCGCAAAATTAACTGTCATAACAAAAATAACGTAGCAGTGACATTCTGAAGTTAACGTTTATACCGTTTGTATCCTTCCAGTTTCCACAAGAAAATGGGTACCACACCCTCAACCCTCAAAATCGTCAACGACACAAGCACCGACATCGTCGACACTTCCGTATCCGACTTAAATGATGACCACTTTGTGCAGACTAATCATCCAAGGAGCCAATTACGCGGTCTATCCATAAATGCAAAAAGATCAGTAGAACGCTTAGTGGACCTCAGAGCAAATCATTGTCCTGCGACGATCACCTTACTTTTCAAAGACAAAACCGAAGATACTGTTCGCATAGATCTCAGATGTTTTTGTCCATCCCCCTATATTTTCGACCACACCACACGATCACACAAAATTTCTCGCACAGTTGGCAACAACAAGATCATTATAACGATTGAAAACACTGCGGAACAGAAGAAGAATGAAGAAGCTGAAGAGTTGTTGAGGAAGGCGAGAGAGGCGATGAGGCAACGGTTGTATGACCGATCTATTGATCATCTTAATCGCGCCAAGAATTTAGCAAGACAAGCTGATACAATTAAGGAGATCAGGTGTGAAGAAAGTGAAGTATATAGTTCGTTTGGGGATAGTATGTTCGAAAAGGGTTTATCGATGGAAAGAGTACACTTAGAAGCAGCACAAAATAAATTTTCTAGAGCGAAGTCCTTCTTCCAGCGATCATTAGAGTTGGTGTGGAATCAAGAGGCACAGGAGAAGACACGTCTTTCCGAATTGAAGATAAGTGGAAACAGAAGTGTCAAAGAGGCAATGAAACTAGAAAATGAACCTTCTGAGATGGTCGGGAACGAAGAATATGAAACGGCGTTGGATAAATACGAAGCAGCTTTGCGCACATACGAAGAAGCTAAAAGAAAATTTGAGGAAGGAAAAACATGTAGATATGCACTTTTTGTTGACTCTGTGGACGCTGTGGAGGAAAGAATCGAACACGTAAACGTTTCTATAAAAAACACTAGGGAAAAAAAACAAAATGAAGAAGCCAAAGAATTGCTACAGGAAGCTAAGACAGCAACATTGCAACAGTTGTATGATGTTGCTCTTGACTATCTTGATCATGCTAAAACCTTAACCGGTCGATTCGATACACTCGATGATATTAAAAAAGAGGAGAGTCGGGTTTGCAGTTTATATGCGGAAACAGTGTTTGAAGAAGGTTTGCAGTGCGAACAAAGAGAACACTCAGAAATGGCCCAAAACAAATTTGACATTGCAGAGTCCTTGCTTCGACGATCTTTGAGACTGGTAAGCAGTAGAGAAACTCTGCAGAAGTTGCGTCTAGTCGAGTTGAAAATTGGTGGCAATAAGGGCTTAAGCCAAGCTTTGGAGTTGGAAAATAAAGCTTTGGAAATGAGCGAGAACAAACAATACGAAAAGGCTTTGAATATTTACCTCGCTGCCCTCAGCACATACAAAGAAGTTAGAGACAAGTATTTAAAAGGTGCCAGGTGTCGACAAGAGTACTTCTCTAATTCCATAAACATTGTCAACCAACAAATAGATCAAGTAGAAGCCGCTATTGACAACACTGGAAAACAACAACACAATGAAGAAGCTAAAGCGTTGATGAAGACAGCTGAAGAAGCAATGAAGCAGCGGTTGTATCATTTGGCACTTCAACATCTTGAGGGAGCCGAAATTTTAGCAAATCAACCGGATACACTCAACAGTATTAAAACTCAAAAGAGTCAGATTTGTAGCGTGTATGGAACAACGTTGTTTGAGAAAGGCCTGAATTTGGAGGAGGGAAATGCGGATCAAGCAAAAATGAACTTTAGTAAAGCGAAATCCTTGTTAAAACGGGGGATGAAATTGGTTGATTGTGACGAAACAAAGAACAAGCTACGTCTTGTCGAATTGAAGATCAGCGGAAATAGCAAGTTTAACAAAGCTGTGAAGTTAGACAACGAAGCTTCTTCATTTCAAGAACAAGAACAATATAAAGAAGCTTTGAATAAATACCACGCAGCTTTGGGTAAATATGATGAAGCTAAGGAAGACTACGGGGAAGGTGCCAGACACAAGGAAGAATATTTTGCAGATTCCGTCAAAATCGTGGATGAACAAATCGAGAGAGTCGAAGTTGCTGTGAATGATATTATTGGTGTACAGATAATGCAAGGTCAAATTAGTGGACTCAGAATGGACAACAGAATAAAAGAGACAGTGGAGGGTGAAAAGGAGGAAGTTGAATCCAAGTTGCAAAATATCTTTATTCAACGTTAAAGTGAGAGTTATTGTAGAATTTATGGTCGCAGGAAGTATTGTAAAGACTCTCATTTACTTAGCTTGTCGTAGATCTGTTTTTTGTAGTTTGCTTTTAGCAGTATTTTTGACAACAAGTTTTACTGTTGTAATTCAGTTTTGTCAATATGAATAATATATTTACATTTTTAAAACTTCTTGTTTTCTTTTGCCTGCCGTTTTACGCGCTGTATCTCTACATGGTGCCAAAAGTGTAATTGTGGTCCACAGGTTGTATTTGCAAGTAGAATCGTCTACGACGAAAATTACATGATATGTGTAGACGCCCTTTTCACACTTTGTCAACAACAATAACTTTACACTAGAGTCCTTGAATTCATCTTTTTTTTCCTTCCAGTTTACACAAAAATGGGGATCACATCCTCAACCATCAAAATCGTCAACGACACGAGCACCGACATCGTCACCACTTCTGTATCCGGCTTAGATAGCTTCGATTTTGTGAAAAGGAATCATCCAAGCAACAAACTAAACGGCTTATCCATAAATGCCAAACGATCAGTAGAATGCATCGTAGACCTCTACTCACCTGCAAGCCATTGCCCTGTGACTGTCACGTTAACTTTCAAAGACAAATCCGAAGACACTTTCCGCATAGATCTAAAATATGCTGTGGGATGTTGCGCGCGATTCAACCACAGCCAAAGATCACACAAAATGGCATATAGACTCGACAATAAGAAGATCATTGTAACGATCGAAAACACTGCCGAACAAAACAAGAACGAAGAAGCTGAGGAATTGTTGAGGAAAGCTAGAGAGGCGATGAGACAACGATTGTATGATCGATCTCTTGATCATATTAATCGCGCCAAGAATTTAGCAACTAGAGCTGATATATTTAGGAATATCAGGAGTGAGGAAAGTAAAGTTTGCAGTTCGTATGGAGACAGTATTTTCGCAGCAGGTTTAACTATGGAAAGAGCAGAAAACTTACAAGCAGCGGAAGGTAAATTTTCAAAAGCAATGTCGTTCTTCCAACGATCGTTGAAATTGGTGTATAGTGGAGAGACACAGCAGAAGATTCATCTTTCCGAGTTGAAGATAAGTGGAAACAGAAGTGTCAGTGAGGCTATGAAACTAAAAGATGAAGCTTTTGAGATGGTCGACAACGAAGAATATGGAACGGCCTTGAATAAATACGAAGTAGCTTTGCACAAATATAAAGAAGCTAGAAGAACATACGTGGAAGGCTCCAGATTAAGAGAAGAATATTTTTCTGATTCTGTGAAACGTGTAGAGCAGCAGATCGAAGAAATTGATGGTGCAACAACAAACACCAAAGAACGGAAACGGAACCAAGAAGCTACAGAATTGATAATATTAGCAAAAACAGCAACCAATGAACATCGGTATTATCATAGCCTCGAATATCTTAACCGTGCTAAAATACTGACGAACCAAAGTGATGCAATTAAAACCATTAAGAACGAAGAATGTCAAGTCTATTGTCTACTCGGAGAAACTTTATTCCAAGAAGGTATGCGCTTGGAGAACGACGGATCATCAAAGAGGGCACAAAGAAAATTCGATGAAGCAAAGTCTTGTTTTCAACAAGCTGTCAACTTGGACATATTTGGACAAGAGACGGAAAGTCTCTTTCACAGAACTATGTCTTGGGTCCAAGGAAAAGTCGGGTTGTTTCAAAACAAGCCTCAACAAAATTTGCACATCTCCGAGCTGAAGATCAGCGGAAATAACAGCTTCTTTCAAGCGGCGAAGTTAAAAAACCAAGCCGTTGATATGATTAGAACTAGAAATTATCAAATGGCTCTGAATAAATATGCCGCAGCTTTGGGTAAATATCAAGAAGCTAAAAAAAAATTCGCGGAAGGTGCCAAGTATCGAAAAGAATATTTCTCGAATTCTTTGACTGTAATCGATGCTCAAATCGTGCAAATTACTGCTGCTATGGAAAGCACTTATGAGCGAAAAAGAAGTGAAGAATTCGAGCAGTTGATGGGAGACGCTAGAGAAGCTAAAGAGCAACGTAAATACGATTTTGCTTTTAAATGTCTTGAACGCGCTAGAATCTTGGCAAATCAAGCTAATACAATCGAAATTAACAACGAAGAAAGTCAAGTTTGTAACTTGTATGGAGAAGCATTGTTTAAAGAAGGTGTTAGCTTGGAGGAAGAAGGACACTTCGAAAAGGCACATACAAAATTCGTAGAAGCAAAATCGATGTTTCAACGAGCTGGTGAAGAGTTTCAACGACAGTTGTATCTGATCGAAACGATGATCGATAGAAACAGATCTTTGACTCAAGCGTCCAAACTGAAAGATGAAGCACTTCAGTTGATCAAAAAGGAAGAATATTTTCTAGCTCTTCATAAATTTGACGACGCTTTAAATAAACACGAAGAAGCTAGAGAAGTGGAGAATACTGGACTCTGTCAACATTTTTCAACCAAAGCTATTACCAAACAAATCGAGCAAATCACTCTTGCGATTGAAAACACCAAAAGCAAAGTACTAATACAGAAAGCTAAAGAAGCAGCAAAACAACACTTTTTCGAATTCGCTCTTGAAAATCTCGATCGTGCTAAAGCTTTTGCCAACCAGTCTGAAGCAATTGAATGTATCAAAAGCGAAGAAAGGCACGTTCTTAATTTGTGTGGAAACACGATGTTGGAAGAAGGTTTGCTTTGGGAAAAAGAGGGACACCTGGAAAGAGCACAAGACAAATTTGAAAAAGCAAAGAGTTCGTTCCAAAAAGTTATGACCTTGGATGAAAATGAACCGGCTTTATTTACAAAAGTGAAGTCCTGGTTTGCACAAAACATAGGCTTGAGTAACGAAATTCAACAAAAGTTGCGTTTATGCGAGTTGAAAATCAGTGCAAACGGAATTTTTGCTGAAGCTATTGAGCTAAAAAAGAGTGCTGTTGAAATGGTGAAGAGTGAACAATATCAAATGGTTGTGGATAAGTACAATGCAGCTTTGACTCGGTTTGAAGAAGCCAAGACACAGTATGTGGAGGGTGAACACTACAAAAAAGAGTATTTTGCTGATTCTGTAGCAATAGTGAACGAACAAATTCAAGAAAGCACTCATGCTATCGAAAACGCTGTAAAAACAATGCAGAACGAAGAAGCTAAAAATCTAGTGACGCAAGCTAAAAAACAACGCTCGTACCAATTGGCTCTTGAATGTCTTAACCGTGCCAAAACGTTGGCAAATCAAACTGACACAATCGACATTATTAAAAACGAAGAAAGTCGTGTTTATAGCTTGTATGGAGACACTTTATTTGCAGAAGGCGTGAATCTGGAGAAAATGATGCAGTCCGAAGAAGCACAAAGCAAATTTGATAAAGCAATGACTGTATTTGCGTTGGTTCAAGGCAAAGAGGGTCAAGATAAGCTGAACCTCGTGAAGTTGAAGATTAATGGAAACAAGAATTTCAACGAGGGTGTCGAATTTGAAAATGGGGCTGCCATTCTTGAAAAAGGACGACGTAAAACAGCGTTGAATGAAGCTTTGGGTAAATACAGAGAAGCACGAGAAGATTTCGTGGAGGGTGTCGGACAAAGGGAGGAATATTTTTGCGAATCTGTGCAAGTTGTCGACGAACGTATCGAGGAAGTTGCAGTTGCTGTTAATGATTTAAATTGTGTGCAAAAGTTACAGGATAAAGTCAGTGGGCTTACAATTAATAACCAAACACAGGAAGTTGTTCAATTTACAGGAGACCAAGCAGTTGTCATTCAAAGATGTATTTAAATTCAAGTTATGTACATTATTGAAAACCAGTACTCAGCGATAATAAATTTATTGTTGCTTTTCTATACTTGTGATTTATTAACCCGCCCCAAAAGCGATTGTTTTGACATTCTGCACATTTTGACGTTTAAATCGTCATCCGTTTCAAAAACTTGATGGTTGAAAAACTTAAATTCTCAACAGATTTTTTGTTTTTTTTTTTTAACCAAAGTTTCTACCGTTTCAGTTATCTTCAAAGTATGGGTACAACCACTTCAACAATCAAAATCGTCAATAACACAAACACCGACATCGTCAAGACTTCGGTGTTCGACATGGACAAGTTCGACTTTCAGGACTCTCCAAACCGACCAGACCGTAACTTAGACAAAATATCTATACTGGCGAAAGCATCCATAGAACGACAACAAGATCTATTCTCTCCTGCTAGCCACTGCCCTTTCACAATCACGTTATTTTTTAGTGATCAAACTGAAGACACTTTCAGTATAGACTTAAAATATGCTGTAGGATGTTGTCACCGTTTCAGCCACAGCAAAGGAACTCGCAAAATTTCGCACAGCGTCCATGATAAGAAAATTATTATCATCATCGATAACCCCACAGAACAGTGTAAAGAAGAAAAGGATGTTAAAGAAACCAGACGTGAAAAGAAATATTCGTCTGATGGATCAGATGACATAAATCAAACTTTGAACACTGGATTGGACAATAAGATTCAAGAAACAGCCCGTGTAGGAAGAGAAGAAGGAGATGGTGTTTTAAGACGTCGAGGGCGTTCAAAGAGTTAGAAATCGTTGTAAAATAAATATCTAGTTATTTATTTGAGTAGTGTTTTTATGCGTCTTTAACAATATGAAGCAATAAAGTCTATTCATGTTTGAATGATCCAACAACACCGCAATTCACACCACTTCTATCCTACACACACTTTAGACTTTCAAACAATTTATTTTTGTTAAATTGTTGTAACTCAAGTTGTGTATAGTGTAATTTCGCGTTCACCAGATTTAGGTTGGTATGGGCAGCCATGTCTGTCACAACTGCCATTTCAAAAATCACCCAAATTCCACTTTCAAACTTCCAAAAACAATAAAATTACTTAAAATCTCAGTTTCATATCACAGAAAACATAAAACCGGCAAATTAGTGTTGTGCTTTGTCAAAAAATTGGGTTATGTTAAACTGGAGGTCTATTCCCTGATCGGTCCAAGTGCACCCAATCCTTCAACTGTGACACCATCATCCCTCCCAGAATAATCTGCGTGGGATGGTACACCAGCAATGGTAAACTAACCTGGCTTAAATGGGCATACCCATGGAACATAATTCGCAAAATAGGAATGCCTGCAATCAAACCGTAAGTACAAATTTTCAAAAACTAATCTAGTTACCTAGTGTCAATGATTTATGAGTCGAACAAAACATGATAGCTATAATGTCCTGAGAGGAGAAATCGCTGTTGTAATATTGTGCAAGGGAGTAACTCAGCCCCATTAGAATCATTTGCATTAAAACTACTGAAAATACTGCTGCTAGAACATCAAGGGCTTCGATATGTGGTTCAGGTGTCTTAAAAGTGTCACAAAACGTGGTGTAAAGTACAAATAAGAGGGCGCATTGGCTTAATGTATTTAGCGCCGGGTGGAGCCTCTTGAGACCTGTGATTTTCCGTAGCACTTGCCCCAGAGTCAACGGTATGAGTACAGTTGTTATAAGTTGGATGATTGTCCCAAATAACGGAATCAACGTTGTATACCCTAACTATATTTTTTTTTATTACACAGTTAATAAATGTGGCTACTTACCCCCAAGAACAGCAACAACGGAGTTATTATTATCCCCAAGAAGCTACCAAGCACCGAGTTGAATATCGCAGCCGTTTCATTCCCATTCGCCGATCGTGTAAGGATGACAGCGCTCGAGACTGGAGGTGGCATACATGCTACGGTTACCAAACTAAAACACCATCATTTTTCCGTTCAATCAAACTCACCCTTTCAAAACCCACGAGTTTATTCCAAAAAAGTGTAAAAACCTAACAAACAAATGCGAGAAAGTCGGTATCAAAATGAACGTGAAAGACTGAATAAATAAATGCAACTTGTAGTGGTGGAATGTGTGTTCAATGAGCTCGGTTTTCAGGGAAAGACCGCTGATGAAGAAAATGAGGGAAACGGCGCCGTATTTGACGGAGTATTCGGTGTAAAGGGGCCCTGAAAATTATCGTCGTGTCAAAGGGAAAGCAAAACGAGAATGGAAACCTTGTCGAGAGCCGAATTCCGGGTGAACCGCCGCCGCAAAAATGCACGCTAAAATGCCCACTAGTAGTACTTGTTTGTGGAGAAACTCTTTGATGGTGATGCGGCGCTTCATTGCGGACTGGTTTAACAAGGGGGCTACGTGATGTTCATGTTTTGTGAGGTTAGGTGGCTGATGGTGGCGTTGACATTTCAAAGCCTCAAGTCCATGCGTCGATGCGTCGAAAATAATCCCAACAATAAAATTTCTATTACACGTTCGTGTGTTAGAATCGCAACGATCACTTTTTGGTTGATTTTTTTAGTTTTTAGTAAACTGTTTAATTACATTTCGATTTTTCCCCTCCCCCATGATTTCTAGGTTTCCGGTCCAGCTAACGCGCGTCTAAAATAAAATTTGACATTTTGAGGTTATGTTCACACGCATTTTTACTTGTTTCACGCATTGATTGCAGTTTAAAGTATCATTTTTTGTGTTATTATGGATAAGCCGCGTCCGTGCGGTTGTAAAGGCTGTCGCACTTGCCTCATCTGCGAAAAAGACTACGGTCTTGGTGTGAAAAATTTTCCGCTTCGGAAAGACCAAAGTTACGTTTATTGTCCTCATTGTAATAAAGCATGGCCCGGTTGGGACTTCAACGATTACAAGAACCATCCGTACCACGATGGAGAACCCATCGACTATCCAGGTGTCTACATCCAACTCGATTTTCTGACAACCCATGAAGAAGAGGAACTCATGACTGGAATCGATGGTTTACCATGGGATTTATCGCAGAGTGGGCGCCGGAAGCAAAATTTCGGACCGAAGTGTAATTTCAAGAAGAATAAATTGAAAGAGGGCAGTTTTAATGGCTTTCCTAAATTTTCAAAGTTTGTACAAGAGAAGTTTAAGAGTGTTGATATTTTAAAAGATTTTTATTGTGTGGAGCAGTGTTCGTTGGAATATGATCCAAAAAGAGGGGCTTCTATTGACCCCCATATTGATGATTGTTGGATTTGGGGCGAACGGATAGTCACCGTTAATTTATTATCAGATTCAGTTTTAACAATGACTTACAATAAAAAGAGTGATTATTATAATTTAGACCATGTTGGTAGTTATCCTGCTGTTTTAGATGATAAGGGGGCGCTGAATTGTAGCGGGGATTCGTACCGTGTTAAATTTTATGAAGAGGGTAAATTGTACCCCATTGTTCGCATCCCAATGCCCAACCGATCTTTGTTGGTTCTTTATAATTCACCCCGCTATGACTGGGAACACCAAATTTTAAGAGAAGATATCACAGAAAGGAGGGTTTGTCTGGCATATAGAGAATTCACCCCTGTGTATTTACCAGGGGGTAAGAAACAGGAAGAAGGAGAGAAAATACTGTCAAAGGGGCAGAATTTTTGTTAAAATTATAGTAAATTAGATAGAATTGTGATATTGACTAATACACTTAATAAAAACCGTTATTTTTCTTGTACAACATTATTTTCAACGAAAACAAGAACAATTAAATTAATTCTATAGTGCCCGTTTTTCCAGAAAGAACTACGTTATCTCCAGTTTTGAACGTTTTGGTGGCCCCTTTGGCCCCTACAATACACGGTAGTCCATATTCACGCGCTATCACCGCACCTACAACAACCCAAGTCATCCTCACAGCCACAATAAAACAAGTTGATGTCATTACCATGTGAAACTAAGCCTCCGAGCTCCGTGACAATCCCTCCCAACATTGGAAAATACGGTGACCACCCTATGTCAGTGCAATACGTGATTAACACATCGCCTGAAAAAAATTTACGTGTGACTGTACTTGAGGGCGTGTCCAATCACCAACCTTCACGCAATTGGTCGATCTCGCTTAAATCCGTGATGACGCACGCCCTCGCTTGCACCACTCCGGCACAAACGGGCGTCCCTTCACACTTAACCTTTCCCACTCCAGTCCTGGGTATAAAATCGCGGCTTTCGTGACGGGGAACCCCATAGGACACTTCGGGAAATTTCAAATGGTCCCACTTCGGATACAACTTCTGACGTTTCAGCGCCCTAAAAAAATCCAAAATCAAACTGTGGACACGTGCGTGGTTATTGGTACTTGATGATCAGGACCGGACTGCGGTCACAGCCTCCCAAGATTTGACCAATTTCGTAGTGCGTCAAGTGGTAGATCAGGTCGGCGTCGGGGATCAGCCCGGCGAGCGCCATTTTGTGTCCCAGAAATGTGTAAGCGGTTCGTACTTTGTTGACGAATCGGATGGTTTCGGATTTGGTTTGTTCGCGCAAACCGACGGCACGCCTACTCTTTGTTACTAGGAACTTTAAGATTTTCCGAGTGAGGAATTTCTTGGGGGTTACTAAAGCGGCGATGACGTCGTTGACTGATTTGGTGACTTTTTCTTGTCTGGAGGTGGGTTTTTTGCAGTTGGTTTGGATCATCTTGATGACGTCGGAGGGGTTCAAGCCCCAGGTTTTGTAGTACATGTCAAACTATAGAACAAAAAGTTTGTGAAATAATTTGCGGTGTTGATAAAACTAAAAATTACCTCGCGCACTCCTCTGTGGCCGTGGTTCTTGAGAAATTTGTCTAATGCGTCACTCGCTTCCGGGGAATTGTTTTTCAGCCACTTTTCACCCTCGTGTGGTGGCACTTTAACAAATTCGTCCGTTTGGTTACTTTTGACTAAAATTGTGGTTATGTTGGCAAGAGTGTTGGGGATTTCGGCCGAAACCACTTCATCGCACGACGCTAACAACATGGCGACGTCGTTATAGTGATCAGTGGTGAAGTCTTGACGACCTTCAGCTAAAACCATCATGGCGAAAATCTGATAAGTGATGGAAGTTCTTGTAGTACAACAGTGAAGATCAACTAGTTGCACAACAGTGTCAAAAACGTCACTAATTTTGACGTAAACGTCCTTGAGAGTGTCTCGTTCTTTGTCAATGTTTATGTCTATAGTTTTCGCCAAGTACTTCGAAAGTTTGGCGCTATCTTCATTTCGCCACGCGATCTTGATCGCAATTAAAAGTTCTCGAAGTTGTTCTCGACCACTGGTTACCCCAAACCGCGCCAGAGCCAACGAATGGATGTTTTCGTCAATTATAGGGTGTCCAAAAATGGCCAAATCGAGAATTTTTTGCGACAAGGTGATCGTCTTTTCGACCCTCCTGTGAACGCCGCTGATGACGTCAATAAACAAGTGGTGTTGAAAAGTGGATAAACATTTGAACGCATAGGGGTCATCTTTGTCCTCGATCCCTCTCTGTATTGCCGTGTCAAGGCATCTGACCAGTGTCGACAACGTAAGGACGCAAATCGCCCCAGGCAACACCTCTCCAGTATTAGCAATACTATACACCATATCCTCACTCAACGTTGCCACGTCGTACTCATGCGTCAACTCAAAATTGCTCCACGTGTGCAACGTCGTAATTGGCCGCGCTTGTAACAAAAAGAGCCGCCCCTGGAAATACCCCCACTCTATATCACGCGCACCGCCGAACTTCTCCTCCAACAGCACCCCCACTCGCCCCAACTCCAGCGCTTGGTTATCCGTCACACTAAACTCCTCCACTCCGTCCACCTCCTCGACTCCGCCTTCCACCATCTTGATCATCGTTTTTTTCGACCCCAGCGCCTTGGACTTGATTGTGACGTCGTTGTCGCATGTGCGTTCGAGAATGACGGTGTCGGGCTCGCTCCGACCCGACACCACGCTCTCACCCAGGCCGTGATTGGCCGTGATCACGATCTGGGCGGGGCTTCCGGTGGAGGGGTGGCACGTGAAGAGCACGCCTGCGCAGTCGGCGGGGATCATGCGTTGAACGACCACGGCCATCTGAGTGGCGATGGGTAAGCCGTGTTGGTGGCGGTACTTGACGCTCTGATACGTGAAAAGAGACGCCCAGCAGGCGGAGACTGATTTAATGACGTCGTCGGGGGTGGTGCACCCGAGAAAGGTTTCGTTTTGACCGGCGGCTGACAACTCTTCGGAGTCCTCACCGACGGCCGACGACCGTACGGCCCAGGCCTCTTCGGAGATGATGTCGTCTTTACGCACGTGACGCAACGCGCGGATTATAGCGTCCGCGATTTCTGGGAGCATCGCCTCGGATTGGACGGTTTTCACAGTCCTGGAAAGGGGGCGTGAGAAGATTATTATAAGTGGGCGTGGCTACTCACAGGGAGCAGGCGTGTTCGAGGTCGCCACTAGTGCGGCCGCAGCAAATATCATCAAGGATCGCTACAGTCTTCTTCATGTTGAAGTTGACGTCGAGTTGTTTGTTGAAGGCGTTAACGGTGACGACGAAGCCGCCCGGAACCACAAACTATAAAAACTGTGTTAGTGGGCGTGGAAACGAAAAGAGGGGCGGAGTTAAGTACGTCGTCGGATTTTAAAGCTGTCAAGAGGGCCAACGAGCATCCCTTTCCTCCGGTTAGACGCACGATTTTTGCATCGTCGTCGTCGAAATTGGTGACGTAGCAGCTGGGTAGGTGTTGGGTTTTGTTTTCGGTTATGAGGGGTGGGGGTAGTTGGTCACGCGTTTCGCTCTTGCCGCGGTACCAGAATTCGACTAATGATTTGGCTTGTTGGGTGTTTAGGTCGCAGTCGGCCGGGCTGTTTGACAATTCGGGCGCGAGATAGTCGGGGTTGGCTATGGAAGTAGTGATGGTTTTCTTGGTTTTTAGGTGAAATACAGTCCTGTAGGTTTTTTTGTTTGCTGAAGATGGTGATTAGTCAAGACGATTTGCACGCGAAAATCTATGAATACAAACCTTGGACGTGTATTGCAAAGGCAGATGGGAGACTTCTCTGTTGTCCCAAAAATTCCAGCCGAACGTCGGAACTGGTGATTGGTGAAACCTTCCCATTGTTCATGATGACGTTTCCGTATTGTAGTCTACAATACCATAAATGAATCAATTTAAAATTCCCGCCGAAACAACAACAAATGTTACTCTTTGCACCCCTTCTGCAGCTCTTTAATCCACAAACTAATCAGCGCGCCGTCTCTCCCCGCCACAAACAAATGAACGCTCCTTTGCATGGCCAACTTTTCCGCTGTGCACCAATACCTGGTCCGACACGAAGGCAAATTTAGTAAGAGGTCGTCCGCGAACGAGTCGCCCTTGACGAAACCCTTCAAGGCTCCGAACTGCTCATAGCCTCTTTCGTCACCTCTGCAACGACATAATAAAACACGAGAAAACACGACTGGGGGTAGTTACAAGAGCGAAATCCAGCTACCGTCCCTCCATGGGTGTCTGGCTAGAGCGTCAGCAAGAAGTCCAGTAGCGGCGTCCTGTGGGTAGAACTGGGGAGCGCCGGCGGCCACCCATCTGTCAAAACAACAATAAATGAATGTGGCAACACTGGCGCCATCTTACATGAAACTGAATCGAACGTGTTCGACGTCGTGGGTGGCGTTGCTTAGAAGACCGTTGTAGGTGACGCGGAGTCGCTTGAAGGGTTCGAGGATTTCGACGTGTAAGTCTTTGGTTTTCCATCGCCAGCTCGATATGCTGTAAAGCCGGGTGATTTTCTCACCTGTGATAATTGAGGAGGTAGTTGGTAGATGGCGTCGGGTTTGTTTGTCTTACCGGGGAATGTGTAGATGGCGCCTGTTGTCAGACGCAAACAAAGAAATACCTCGGCGACTAGATTGGCCCGGAGGGTTATTCGTAGCGACAAACTGTTGCCATTTTGGTCCACACCGTAGATGAAGTGGTTGTCGTCGTACTGAAAAATCAAACAGTCGCATGAATGGAGTTTCCCGACCTAGAAGTATCAAACGTGTTAGTGTTCTTACAATGTCAGATTTGATTTTTTTGGGGTTTTCAAGCGACTTTCGGGTTCCTTCGTCGAGCGATTGTCTGCATTTCCGTTGGTATTTTTTGATGGCGGGCGTTGCGACGAGTAGTTTGAAGAGGTAGAGCCAGTCTGGAATTTTTTAGTTTTAATTTAGTTTGAATTTTAATTAATTTGGTTCTTACCCCTGTTGGTGTAAAATCGGCCGTTCGTGGTATGTTTAAAAAATATGAAATACGGTGCGATCGGTATGAAGAATAAAGTTACGTAATAGAGAAGGTCGAAGATTTCCATTGTCACTGTGATAGTAGAACTGAGGATTAAAAGTTCAAGACAGGTGTTGCGATATCTTGATAAGTTTGATAAATATTATCTAAACTTCCAAGTGAATGGAGCGTTGTTAATCAAGGACGGAATTGTTTTTTTAGCACCGAGATTAGGTTATGGATTTTTGTTGTGATGCATAACCACTTAGTTACTCACAGTTTAAATATTAAGTTTTTGTACGGTACAAGGTCTTCGATGATAATAGATGAGGAACTGAGCGGTTGGGAAGTGCGTTTTATTTGTTACATTATGGCCTCATTATTTGGTCGTTATGTGAATGTATTTGTGTAATGCTAGCTTTAGGCTGTATTTACACATTAGTAGTGTTAAAAGTGTTACATATCAGTAAAGAGAAACATATTTTTTTATTAATTATTATTTTTGGTTATATTTGCGGTTATTGTAGAGGACGACGACTTCGATTTAGTAGTTTTTGTTAAAGGTGGGGTAGGTCATGTCAATACGTAAGTTAGAGGAAGAAGGTTGTCATTGAAGAATCAAAGGAGAGAGAGATGCTAAAGTCCATCTAAAATTGTAGCGTAATTGGCGCCTTGACTCCTTAAATAGTTTAAGCTGCCCCACAATAAAATCCAATAAATATAATGATCACCAAATGGTTGGAACAAGTTGGTTAGGGGACTTCCGTAAGCGGATATATTTCTTTGGGAGTCTTGGGTTTTTATTTTGTTCAAAATTCCCTGTACAACTGGTTGATACTGTACAAATGTTCAAGATTATTGGGAATATTTTTGTAAATGTTTTTAAATTTTATAAAATAACGGACCCCTCCATTTATGGATTATGAAACCGTGTTGAGTTTCACCTCTAGGATCCAAGTTTTTAGAAATAAATCAAAATTGAATAACATTTTAAAATTTAACTTTAAAATTGCAATATCGAATGTTTTGAAATCTTGCAATCGTGTTAAGGTTATCGGCAGCATGGTAAATCGTTAATCAAAACTTATACGGTCATGTTCCCCCAGAAATTGATGATCTTACAGTTTTGTCGAATAAATGTTTCTTAACTGTCAAGAAGTAACATCGTCCTGAACTTGTGGTTTATGAATCCGGGTTGAATTTTTGTCCTAGACGTCGAGTTTTGGCATTTTTCAGTTTTTTATTCTTCAATTTTTCAATTTCTCCATTTTCAATTTTTCGGTTCTTCACATTTTCGATTTCTCGATTTTTTTGTTTTTCGATTTCTCAATTTTCGGATGTTTTAGATTTATCAATATTTCGATTTCGTTTAAATTTTTTAATTTTCACACTTAGATTTTTCGAAATTTCGATTTTTCGATTCTTCGGTTATTTAATTTTTTAGTTTTTTTATGTTTCAGTTTGTCGACGTGTGGATTTTTTGGTTTTAGATCTTTCGGTTTTTGATTTTTCGATTTTTCAATTTTTCATTTTTTAAATTTTTCGATTTTTCAGTTTTTCTGTTTCACGCTTTATCGAGATTTTTTGATTTTAAATTTTTTAATTTTTCAATTTTTAACTTTTCGAATTTTTGACTTCTTGACTTTTCGATTTGTCGATCTTTTGATGTTTCGATTTCTCGATGTTCCAGTTTTTGAATTTTTCGGCGTTTCGATTTCTAATTTATTTCGGTTTTTCAGGTTTTCGATTCTTCAGTTTTTTGATCTTTCAAGTTTTGTGATTTTTTTTAATTTTGGATTTTCCATTTTTCAATTTTTCGATTTTTGAATGTTTCGATTTCTCGATTTTTCAGTTTTGCGATTCTCCAATTTTTCGATATTTGAATTTATTAGTTTTTAAATTTTACATTTTTCTATTACGCGATTTCTCAATTTTTTGGTTTTTCAGTTCTTCGAATTTCCTATTTTTTTAATTTTTGATTTTTGAAAATTGAAGTCTAAGTTTTTAGATTTCTCCATGTTTTAAATCTAATTTCTCGATTTTTCAACATTTGATTTTGGGAATTCTTCAATTTCTGAGTTTTAATTTTTTTTTAATTTTCCTGCTTTTTTTCGATTGCTCGATTTTTCTATTTTTTTATTTCTTGATTTATCGAGATTTCGATGTTTCGATATTTTTATTGTTCATTGTTGATATTTTTTATTTTAAGTTCTTCAATTTTTAACTTTTCCATTTTTCGATTTCTCAATTTTTCATTTTTTCGACTTCTTAACTTTTCGATTTTTTGATCTTTAATGTTCCGATTTTTCGATGTTTTAGTTTTTGAATTTTTCGATGTTTCATTTTCTCGGTTTTTCAACTTTTCGGCTCTTCGATTTTCTAATTTTTAGATGGTTCGGTTTTTAATTTTTCAAATTTTAGGTTTTTAATTTGTCGGTTTTTCGATTTTTCGAATCTGATTTTTCAATATTTAGTTTTTTAATGATCGATTTGGCACTCCATTTTTCGGTGTTTCAGTGTTGGGATTTTTCAATTTTCCGGTTTTCCAAAGTTTCGATTTCTCGGTTTTCCGATGTTTCTGTTTTCCGATTATTATTTGATTTTCCCATTTCTCTATTTCTCAACTTTCATTGTTTCGATTTGTAGTTTTTTCATTCTTCAATTTTTCGATTTCCCGATTTTTCAATTTTCCGGTTTTTAAATTTTATATCTTTCAATTTTTCGATTTGTTGATGTTTCCATTTTTCAGTTTATCGATCTTTTAGTTAAATTTTGAAAATTTTAAAATTTTTGGATTTTTCATTTTTGCAGTTGTTCGATTTCTCGATGTTTCAATTTATCAATTTTCTTAATTTAAATTTTTTTAATTTTTCAATTTTTAACTTTTCGATTTTGGCTTATTTTGATTTCTCAATTTTTCGATTTTTAGACTTCTTGACTTTTCGATTCCTCGATAAGTCGATCTTTTGATGTTTGGATTTTTCGATGTTTCCATTTCTAGGTTTTTTCGATTTTTCAGTTTTTCGATTCTTCAATTTTCCTATTTTTCAAATTTGCGATTTTTAAATTTTGGGTTTTCGATTTTTAGTTTTTTAATTCTTCAATTTTTCGTGCTTCAGATTTTGGATTTTTCAATATTTCGATTCTTCGATTTTTCGTTTTTTTTTTTAATACGTATTTCAATTTTTAACCTTTCGATTTTGGCCTTTCTCAATTTTTGATCTTTTGGCTTCTAGACTTTTCGATTCCTCGATTACTCAATCTTTTGACGTTTCGATTTCTCGATGTTTCCATTTGTAGTCTTTTTCGATTTTTCAATTTTCCGATTTTTTAATTTTTTTATTTTTGAATGTTTCAATGTTTGAATTTTTTAACTTTGCGATTCTTCATTTTTCTTATATTTTAATTTTTAATTGTTAAACAATTTTAAATGTTCTAAAATATTTCGTTTTTTTGAATTTCTAAATGTTTTACTTTTCAATTTTTGATTTTTTCAATTTTACATTTTTCTATTTCTCAATTTTTTGGCTTTTCAGTTCTTCGAATTTACATTTTGTTAATTTTTGATTTTTGAAAATTGAAAAGTCTAAATTTTTAGATTTCTCCATTTTTTTAAATCTAATTTCTCGATTTTTCAACATTTTATTTTGGGAATTCTTCAATTTATGAGTTTTATTTTTTTTTTAATTTACCTGCTTTTTTTTCGATTGCTCGATTTTTCTATTTTTCTATTTCTTGATTTATCGAGATTTCGATGTTTCGATATTTTTATTGTTCATTGTTGATATTTTTTATTTTAAGTGCTTCAATTTTTAACTTTTTCATTTTTCGATTTCTCAATTTTTTCGAAGTTTGAGTTTTTAAATTTTTCGATGTTTCGTTTTCTGTTTTTCAACTTTTCTACTCTTCGATTTTCTAATTTTCAGATGGTTCGGTTTTTCAATTTTTTAAATTTTAGGTTTTTAATTTGTCGGTTTTTCGATGTTTCGAATTTGATTTTTCAATGTTTCGATTTTTAAAGTATAAGTTTGTCAATTTTACAATTTTTCGATCTTTTAATGTTGCGATATCTCGATTTTTCATTTTTTTCGACTCGTCCATTTTTCAGTTTTTCGATTTGGCACTCAATTTTTCGGTATTTCAGTGTTGGAATTTTTCAGTTTTTCGGTTCTTCTTTCGATTTATCGGTTTTCCGATTTTTCGATTTCTCGGTTAATTGATTTTTTATTTTCCCATTTCTGTTTCTTGACTTTTCATTGTTTCGATTTTTAGTCTTTTAAATCTTCGATTTTTCGATTTCTCGATTTTTCAATTTTGCAGTTTTTCTATTTCTCGATTTATCCAGATTTCGATGTTTCCATTTTTTGATTGTCCAAATTCTCGATTTTTCGATTTATCGATTTTCTTAAATTTTAAATTTTTAATTTTTCAATTTTGAACTTTTCGATTTTGGCTTATTTTGATTTCTCTATTTTTCGATTTTTTGACTTCTTGACTTTTCAATTCCTCGATTACTCGATCTTTTGACGTTTCGATTTCTCGATGTTTCCACTTGTAGGTTTTTTGCGATTCTTCAGTTTTTCGATATTTTAATGTTTAATTGTTAAATAATTTTAAATGTTTCTATTTCGCGATTTCCCGATTTTTCACCTCTACAATATTTCGTTTTTTTGAATTTCTAAATGTTTAACTTTTCAATTTTTGATTTTTTCAATTTTACATTTTTCGATTTGTCAATTTCTTATTTTTTCAATTTTACGATGTTTTTGATATTCCAATTCTCGTATTCTCGATTTTGCAACATTTTATTTTGAGAAGTCTTCAATTTCTGATTTTTTTAATCTTCAAATTTTTGGACTTTTCGATTATGCGTTTTTCAATTTTTCGATTTTTGAAATTTTGGTTTTTCGATTTTTCAATTTTACTATTTCTTGATTTATCGAGGTTTCCATGTTTCGATATTTTTATTGTACAATGTTACGATTTTCCGATGTTAGAACTTTTAACTTTTCGATTTCTTGATTTTAGGTTATTTTGATTTCTCGATTTTTTTATTTTTCGACTTCTCTACTTTTCGATTTCTTGATTTTTTAATATTCCGATTTTTCGATGTTTCAGTTTTTCCGGTTTTTTAAATTTTAAGTTTTCGATTTGTCGGTTTTTCGACTTTTTGATTTTTCAATTTTTAAAGTTTAAGTTTGTGAATGTTTCAATTTTTAGATTTTTTAATATTTCGATTTATCGATTTTCCGTTTTTCGATATTTCTGTTTTTAATTTTTCGAATTTTTAAATTTGATTTTTAATTTTTTTTTCAATTTTTCGGTGTTTTCAATTTTACATTTTTCGATATTTCAATTTTACGATTTTTTGATGTTTCGATTTCTTGACATCTCGCTTATTTTTTTACACCTCAATTTTTCGAGTCTTCGATTTCTCAGTTTTTCAAGATTTCAATTTTGGGAACAACTCATTTTCTGAATTTTTCAATTTTTGGAAATTTTAATTCTTTGGTTTTTGGATTTTCAACTTCTCGGATTTCGAATTTTTCGTGTTTAAATTTTTCAGTTTTTGAAATTTTTGGTTTTTCGATTTTTCAATTTTGCAGAAAGAGAGTATCATTTATGCCACTGGTTTTACGGGATTTGTTGGGCTGCACCGGGGCGAGGTAAGTTCTATCGAAAAAGTATTGTGATTTGTCATAATAAATTTATTATGGATAATAATATAATTAATGACAGCCGAACGTCATATGACAAGACCTGACGCCAAGCTGACAAAAAAAAATACGTTTTTAAAGATAAAGGTCCGTAAAAGTTTTTTTAAAGAATTTTTAATTTTTTTGACATTAGAGATTACCAACCAGAGACGATTTTTAGTTTCGAAAAATTGTTTGACTTCTTGCGAGTTTTAGACGAATTGAAAGGTTAAATAAAGTTTTTTTTAAACAAAAATTGATCGCATTCGACGCCACAATCCTTTTTAATGAGTATAATTAGCGGAATATCAGTTTATTTTAGTAGTTTTCTAACCTGAAATGCGTAAAACTTTGGTTATTCCATAAACATGTGTAATTTTTGTTTTTATTGTATGTAGAGCAAAGATTGATACAATCAGAATCACTAAGTAACTTCAACCCTAGATTTCGTCTCGGATAAAAGTAAGATTACGTAGGTACTTTGAATGCATATCAAAATTATTTTTCTTAAGTTATTTGATGACGCCATCCCAAAATTTATCGTTGGAAAATCCTTGTTTAGTGTTCAATTTGTCGCCAAATTTAGCTTTTACGGCTGACATCTCACTTGATAAGGGGAACTAATATCTTCTACATAGCGAAAAACTCAAACGTTTACTTGAGGAATTTCTTGAGTGTAAGTGTGGTTTAGGGAGAAAATTTCCCAAGGTCAAATTAACTACATTTTACCACGTTATATTCTAGTAGTGATAACAATTGATATTTCATAGATTCGTCCAATACGAAACTGCCAAAACTTGCATTTTCGTATTTTACGAGTTGCAAGATGGCAAGAAAACATGAAATGAGATGTATTTGTTAATGTGAGTAAAAAATGATTTTTCATAGTTTGGGAAATAAAAATAAGGATACAAAAATGTACATTTTTCTCAAATTAAAATTTTAATCTTAGAGAATTGTAACTACGAATAATGTAACAATTTTTACTTTTAATAATATGATAACCTAAAGTGAACAATTTTCACAGAAACAAATACTTAAAACTGTCATTATACAAAAATGTCAATGTTGCAACATCACAGAAAATATAATGATAAAACACTAGGCAAGGTTAAATGACAGCAAAATAAATAATATAGAAACATCAATTAAAAATTTATTCACTTCAAACTAATAATAAATTATAAATAAGTCATTTTCTAAAAAAAAAAGAAAATACATTAAATGTATACAGATTCACTCGTCTGAAAAAAATTAACACAAAATTTCCACAACAAATCTCATTAGTCAGTCACGTGTTAAGTTTTTTCTTAGACAGATCAAATTGCATTTCCTATAAATAGGTATAATATAAATAAATAAATTTAAACTATATCAACTGCGACAGCACAGTTCTCATCAGCTATCCATATAAAAAAATAAATATATAACTTTGTAAATAAAATAACGCTCAATTAACTGAAAAAGAAAAACGCACTCAGTCAAAAATCGAAAAAAAACTGAACAAAAACAACCAACATTCACAAAAATCGAAAAAAAAGAACTCCATCACAGCTCCGATCCTTCAACAAAAGAATGGATTCTGTAGATAGTTATCGCCTGCTCCCATATTTCGCACGTTATTCGAATGGTAATTTTGGAACCGGGACCTACTCTGCAAATTATCCGGGGGCTGCATCTTTCTGAAAGGCATCGCCCCTCTAAACGGCATGAAACCTAGACCCGAAAAGCCAATTTAATACAAGCAAGGAGAAGACATAACCTCAAAGTCGGGATTCGTGACAATCCCGACTTCGTCGTCCCTCAGAACCTGCGTCTCTTACCCCTGTTGTGCATTGAGAGGCCCCAGTTGTCCAAATACTGTGCTTTCTGCCGACCGTGGTCTTCCGCCACCCGGACGCTCAGCGGCAACATGGCGTTTTCCAACATTTTCCCGTCTAAATCGGCTATGGCAGCTTGCGCCTCGTTCCCCTTTGAGAATCTACAAAAAGGAGGGTCATGGATGCCCCAGTTACGGTCTTTTCTACCTGACGAAGGCGACCCCGCGCGGCATTCCCGTGATTTTGTCTTTTAAGACCGACTTTTGGACGATTTCTCCGTAGCTGCAGAATAATTTGTGGACTTCTTCTTCGGTAATATCTTTCGGTAGGTTCGTTATGTATAGGTTTGAGTCTTTCATGTCTGTGCCTGGCGGTCGAGAGTACGACACTTTCAAACGTTTATTTCTGGAAACGAAGTTTTGAGGTTAGGTTGGGTTTCGTTGGAAACTTACTTATAGTTCATTCCGTTGATTTGTTGGATAGCTTTAGCAGCGTCTTCGGGTGTAAAGTACTTAACAAACCCGAAGCCAAAACTGTAACCGGTGTTATAGTCGCGCATTATTTTAATACTTTCGACTCTTCCTATAGGAGTGAAGATTAAAGCTAGATCCTCTTCAGTGGCAAATTGTGGGATGTAATTTACTATGAGTTTGGTCTTATCGTATTCGACTTGGTCTCCAGCCCCCACATTTAAGTCGCTTTGGTTTCCTTTAGGGTTTTCTGGCTGCATTTTTTTCAAAAACTGCAACAAAATGGCCATACAATTTTGAGGTTAGGACCACCGGTCTTCTAACTCGAATGCATGGATAACCAGAGAAAATCCTCGAAAATGTCTCGAAACGAACGAATTTATTATTTTCGACATAACTTACCTTTGTTTATTGAAAAACTTCAAAAATAAATAAACGAAAACCAAAATACGAACTACAAACTAGATTCAAATCGCGCATGCGCGAATCTCGCCAGGACTGACTCAACCAACGTAACGTCGCTCGAAGGCAAACTCCCCAATAACCAGAGGTTCCACACCAGTTTAGAAAAACACAAACAAGCTCAACTTTATTTCGCTTTAGGCCTAGCCTCCTTGATTGCCACTGTTTCGATTTACTTATACATAAAATAGGAATAAAATTACCGCTACTACAAATCTTTGGTCTCCTAGTTCTAAAATTACCAACAATTCGCTAGCAACGTTGTCGAAATAAAAATTTGGCCGCATCTTAGGCCACGCGTCGATCAGTCCGTTTTTATTGTCGCGACGTTTCGACCGAGTCGCCGTCATCATCTTTTGCTAGGCGTGGCGAAATTGTAGATGGCTTCGTACACTTTTTGCTGTACGTCCTCCAGCTTCTTTTTCATGTCTTCAGTGTACGGGTCGAAGTTGAGCACTCGCCTTTTGCGACGATAAATCCCTTCTTTGCGCTCGATGGCGCATCTGAAGAGAGATGCGTCGACTGATATGTCGAGAAATTCAATTATGGATTTCAGGGTGTGCTCGAGGTTGTCGACGAGCTGCTCGTAAAAGATGACGTGTGTTGGTCCTGTGAAGTTGTACAGCCAATCGAGGTTGGTTTGTTTCCAGGATTCGAGTTTGTCGGTGACGAACTGTTGCCAGTCTGCAAAAAAAACACAAATGTTTAGAATTTAGATCCGTTTTAGCCCAGTTGTATTAATTAAATAAGTATCGGGCGATTTTTAAATTTATGCTCTAGTTGGCCGTGATGCTTACGCATTGCTGAGATACGCGTCATGGCCAACTACAGCAGAAATTTACAAAGCCGCACAATATTAGGGTTGATATTTCCAGACGTCTTTATTTATATGTATTGATCGGTTCTACTATGTATGTTAAAGATAGTTCTCGACGTTTAAATTAACAAGATTTATGGCTATTCATCTCAAAAACAGATTTTTTTTGTTAATATGTGTAGTGTAGTCGTTTTTTCACAACAAGAAAGGTAAAACATGTTTAAAATGGTAAATTTTTGTACGAAACTATTGATTTTGTAATTAAAAAAATTCATCACGATTGAGATCGAAACGGATGGGTGGGGCTTTTATTTTGGTTTTCTTTTTTAATTAATACATTTAGTTTTCTTTGTACAACACGATTACTTACGAACACATTTCACAGGGCAGTTTTTAGTAGAAAAATAAGGATTTTACAATTAAGCTCCGCCTCTCGGCTTATTACGAATAAAAACAATCATCAGAATTGAGATAGGGCGGGTGGGCGGGGTTTATATTTTGGCTTTTTTTTTCTTAACATATATAGCCATCGTTTCACAACAAGAAACTTAGAACATGGCTAAAATGTTACATTTTTGCAAGGAAATATGGATATTTCCTTATACAAATTTTCCATCTTAAACATGTTTTAAGTTTCATGTTGTGAAAAGAAGTCTACACGTATTAAAACTAAAAGCCAAAATATAAGCCCGCCCACCCGCCCTATCTCAATTGTGATGATTTTTTTTTATTCGCCATGAACCAAGGGGGTGGAACTTAACTAGAAAATACAATTTTTTTACAAGAAATTAAAAACTTGTTTTTGAGTATCGTGTTGTTCAAAGAATACTATGTACATTAAGAAAAAAAAGGCGAAATATAAACCCCGCCCACCCACCCCATCTCAATTGTGATGATTTTTTTATTCTTAGAAACTTAAAACACGTTTAAAATGGTAAATTTTTGTAAGGAAATATGGATTTTGTAATTATTAGACTCCGCCCCTAGGTCTGCCAATGATTGAAAACTTTATTACTATTTAGATCAGGGCAGGTAGGGGTGCAGCTTAATCTTTGGCTTTAATTTTTTCTTAATATACGTAGTATTCTTTGAATAACATGATACTCAAAAACCTGTCTTCTATTGTAATTTCTTGTAGAGAAATAATAAAGATTTTGCAATTAAATTCCGCTCCTTGGGCTCTCGAAGACACAAAAAAAAAACATCACAACTGAGATTGGGCGGGTGGGCGTTGCTTATATTTTACCTTTTTTCTAATATACGTAGTCGTCTTTTTAGAACAAGGAATTTAAAACATGCTTAAAATGCTAAATTCTTGTAGATAAATATGGATCTTGCAATAAGCCCCGCCCCTCGATCTAACAACGAATGAAAAATCCATCACAATTGAGAACTGAGATCGGGATGGGTAGGGCTTTATTTTTTCTTTAAAATATATACATTAGTATCCTTTCAATAACACGATACACAAAAACATATTTTTAATTTCTCGTAGGGAAATAAGGACTTGGCAGTTAAGCTCCACCTTCTTGGTTCACGACTAATAAAAAAATCATCAGATTTGAGATAGGGTGGGTGGGCGGGGCTATATTTTGTGTATGTTTCTTAGAATGTGTCGACTTATTTCGACAACAAGAAACTTAAAACCTATTTAAAATAGTAAATTTTTGTAGTAAACAACTTCAATCCTCCACTTTTCTTCTATAAAATGAATGAAAATGACTTGAGATCCGTACTTTGTAATGAATTTATGCTAATGTTTTTTCCATTTAAATACATGCTGCTTAATTTTTTTATTTTTGGAAATTTTGATATTCGGGGCCACTTGAAGAACTATAGTGAAAATGACTTTGGATTCGTATTTTGATATTTAAAAGTTTTTATCATTTAGCACTTCTCTTGATTCGAATAGAGACTATTTTAACAATCTTGTGGTTATTTTAAGAGATTATGTGTTACTACTGAGTTCAAAAGTGTAATCTATGGAGAGTTCTCTATAATGTAGCGCTTTTCTTTAAACTAAATAGAGCCTTTTTCAATATTTTCTTTTTTTTTAGAAAATTTTTAGAGATTAATTTTGCATTTTCCGAAGTATTCGAAGATCTAGAGTGAAAATAATTCCAATGAATTCTCGATATATATATAAACTGTTTTCACTTGTTTATGAACATTTTTGGAAATTATTTTCGGTTTAGTATTTTCCTAAGAATTCTTTATAAGGCGCGACATTTTTTTCGGTTCGAATAGAGGCGTTTTTAACATTTTTATGATATTTCAAGAATGATCTCAGATTTATAATTTACGAACCCTTTATATGCTAGCGCTTTTTTCCATTCAAAAAGTTAAAAATTTTTTTTTGAGAAATTTTAGAAATTATTTTTTGGTGTTCATTATTTGAAGAACTATAGTGAATATGACTTAAGAATTGGAATCAATGATGAATGTATGCTATTGACATTTTTCATTTGAATAGAGGCCGTTTTAATTCTGTTTTTATTGTTCGACATTATTTTTGAGTTTTCCGGGCTATTGGAAAAACTATGGTGAAAACGACTTTGCATTCGGATTTTGCTAAAAAATCTTTATAAGCATTTTTCTCCGTTTGATAGAAGTTATTTTAACCTTGTTCCGATTATTTTAATAGCTACGTCAGGAATTGCCCCAAACTCATAATTTTTGAAGAGTTCTCTATAAATTAGTTTAGTTAGATTAAAAAAAAGCTGTTTTAACTTATTTAGGAATATTTTCCGCATTTTTCCTAGTTATTCAATCAGTTATAGTGAAAATGACTTCGGATTCGTATTTTCTTAAGAATTCTGTATATTTTGACACTTCTTTCGGTTCAAACAGAGGCGCTTTTAAAATGTTATAATTATTTGAAGAACTTTGTCAAGAATGACCTCAGATTCATAATTTAGGAACCCTCAATAAGTCAGCACTTTTTTCCATTCAAATAGAGTCGGTTTTAACTTTTTTTGGAGAATTTTTAGCAATTAATTTTGCGCTTTCAAAATAAATTGAACACCGATAGTCAAAATGACTTGCGATTCATAATCTTCCTACTGATTTTTTCATATAGATGCTGTTTTAATTGTTTTTTTTTAATTCTCTGAAATTCTTTTTGGGTTGAAGAACTATAGTTAAAATGACTTCTCTCGGTTAGAATAGAGTCTATTTTAACATGTTTGTGTTTATTTTAAGAGACTAGCCTTATATTCGTTATCTACGAGGAGTAATTTATTCTTTTAATCGTGAATAGAGCCTGTTTTAAACTTCTTTTGTAATTTTTTTAGAAATCAATTTCGTGTTTTCTGGAATATTTAAAGATCTACTGTGAAAATGACTTCACACACTAATAAATTCTCTATATGCTTAATCATCCGCCGTAGTGAAAATGATCTCGGATTCTTATTTTCTTAAGAATTCTCTACAAACCGACACATCTTTCGGTTTGAATAGAGATGCTTTTAACTTTTTATGATTAGTGGGAGATCTGTGCTAATGATTGCCCCAGATTCATATTTTACTAACTCTGAAGAGGTCCAGCGCTTTATAGAGTCTATTTTAACATTTTTTTTTTGAGATTTTTGGAAATTATTTTTGGTTTTGATGAATATTTTAAGAGCTACAGTAAAAATGAGTTGAGATTGATAATAATCTGCGATGAATGCATGCCAGCGATTTTTTCATTTAAATTTCCGTAATATTTGGAGAACTATTATGAAAATGATTTTGAATTCGTATTTAGTTATGAAGTTTTTATAAGCTACCACTTCTTTCGGGTCGAATAGAGGCTATTTTAACATTTTTGTGGTTATTTTAAGAACATTTTAAAAAATTAATTTTGCTTTTCCCGGATTATTTGAAGATCTAGAGTGAAAATGACTGTATACTCTTAATTAATTCTCTATATGCCAGTATTTTCTTAAGAATTCTCTATAAGCCGGTTCTTTCGGTTCGAATAGACGCACATTAAACATTTTTATGTTTTAATTATTTGTTAGCGCTTTTTTCCATTCAAATTGAGTTTTTTTTTTTTTTGAAATTTTAGAAATTATTTTTTGATTTTCATGATATTATTTGAAGAGCTATAGTGAAAATGACTTGAGAATTGTAATCAATGATGAATGTATGATTTTTTCATTGTTTGACATTATTTTTGGGGTTTTCCGGGCAATCGGAAGAACCATAGTGAAAATGACTTTGCATTCGCATTTTTCTAAAAAGTCGTAATTTCTTTCGGTTCGAATAGAATTTATTTTGACGTTGTTCTGATTATTTTAAGAGCTGTGCCAGGAATCGCCTCAGATTTGTAATTTGTGAAGTTTTCTCTATAATTTAGTGCTTTTCTTTCATTTGAATAGAGCTCGTTTCAAGATTTTTTAAATACATTTTTGAAAAATAAATTTTGAGTTTTCCGGATTAAATGAAGATCTAGAATTAAAATTACTGTAGATTCGTAGTGAATCTTTAAGAAGAAAAAAAAACATTTTTCCGCGTATTCCCTAGTTATTCAATTAATTGTAGTGAAAATGACTTCGGATTCATATTTTCTTAAGAATTCTCTATGTTCTTTCAATAAGTCGACACTTTTTTCCATTCAAATAGAGTCAGTTTTAACTTTTTTTTGACAATTTTTAGCAATAATTTTTGCGCTTTCAGATAAATTGAACTGTCATAGTCAGAATGACTTGCCATTCATAATCTATGAAGAATGTATGCCAGTGCATTTTTCATATAGAGACTGTTTTAATTGTTTTTTTTTTATTTTCTGAAATTATTTTTTGGGTTTTCCGGACTGTTGGAAAAACTATGGTGAAAATAACTGCATTCGGATTTTTCAAAAAAATCTTTATAAGCACTTTTC